AATTAAATTTTCGTTTAGTTGTCTTTGAACTGATTCCTTAACTTTCTCGTCTTGTAGTTGGGCTGTATCAATCCTTTTTTTTTTATTCATTATTGATTTTCCATCTGTTCTACATAGTTATTCTTATTTCTGTTTTCTTCAGTATTTGTGTAGTTTATTGAGTTTTCGATGTTGCAGGTAGTGTTTCCGCTGTGTACGGCATTATTTGTGGAATGGCAGTTTTATAAATCCCGTATTTTTATGTGTTTGTTTTGCTATATTATACGCACTCTATCACTAATGAGGTTTCTATGGCTTCTCCGGTCTCCTGAGTAACTGGAGATTTCAATATCTATCTTACACTTAATCTGTCTTTTTGAACTGGCCAAGCATTTGTTTTGGTTTATTTGGTCAAGTTTTTGAAGCGAAACGTTGTATTACTTTTTCTCTTTAGTAAAATGCTGAGACCAGCGTTTACGGAAGTAGCGGTTCGTGGTTCGCAGTGGGAAGAGTCCATTCACGCAAAGAGGCGAGTCCGTTATACAACATTTTATACACAATATTATAATACACAAATTTTTCAATTTTATTAAAATCTATAAACAAAATATTTAAATTCTAAGACTTAAGAAAACACTGTATGACGTTTGGCTAGTCTATTGTACCATTTTTTGCAGATATAGCCATTTGATGTAACTTTAAACTGTTGTACTAGCTTTTACACATTATCGGTATTTTTATCGAACTAGTGACTTCTTCCTTTACTTTTGTTTGAAATTCTTCTCGTCTTTAGATTTTAAAAGCTTTCTCCGGATCTATGAAACAGGTGAATGTTGGTTTATTGCATTCAATGAATGTTTCTGTTATTTGTCTTATTACAAAACGTATTCTATTGGCGAAACCTGAGGGAACTAGACGAAGAGGTAAGCCAAGGTTGAGATGGGTGGAAGGTATCCATGCGTATGGATAAAATTATGAATGTTGCCAATTGTCTTATTAGAAAAAACAGCAACTGGATAAGATGTTCCTAAATTAAATCCTTGTTGTTTCTCAGAAATAGATGCTATACTGTTTATTTTGCCCGTGATAATTATAAGGTTTTAGTCTTCGCATAGTACTTGTAGGTTTATAGCTGTGTAGTTTATTTTTCTTTTTGAAAAGTATTGTGTTGTATTGCTTACGCGCCATTTATCTGTAATTGCATATTCATGAAGAACATGGCTTAATTTATGAAGAACATAATTTAATTTTGTTAGTCCTTTTCCAAGACGTGGACATTATTCAGTTTTTTTATTTGTAATCTCATCCTAGTCGAAATAGAAATAGAAAAAAAAGTCGAGACTGTTTTTGTTTCATAACTTTTAAAGTGCTAATTTTATTTCTAATTCATCTAGTGTCATCGATTATTATTTCTAGTTCTGTTTTCTTTTATAAAGATCTGTAAGCTATCTTAACTAAGTTTCCATTCCTATTTAATTTTATTCTCCTAATTCATATCTTACTTACTACTTTGTTTTCTAATAATTCGCTATGACAACTTCTGACCACCATAGTTGAATATTTTGCAGTGAACTGCCTGCCTAACTCATGTCTTTCTTTAGTTGCAGATCGATTTGTATTTGTTAAATGATTTCTCTGTTTCGAAAGTTTTAAATGAAAAGAAAGATTTTTCATTACACATTTCTTAAAGTAGATACTATTTTAATGGAAATAAGCCACAATTGAAGGTTAAAATAAGTTTATTGACGTTTCGATTTCCACTTCGGAAGTCGTTCTCAAAATACAAATAATAAAATAAAAACAAAAAATAGGTTTGTATTTTGAGAACGATTTGCGAAGTGGAAATTGAAACGTCAATAATTTTATTTTAATCTTCAATTGTGGCTTATTCCCAATAAAATAGTGTCTGCTTTAAAATGCCACAAGAAAGTAACTTCAGAACAACATTTCTTGAATTTTCAGGTTTTCCTTTATTGACTTTTCTTTTGTTGATTTTTACAAGCTTTAATTAGTCTTTCCTTTTGTTCAAACTAAATTATTTAAATCTATTGTAAACTATTAAAATATTTTAATACGAGTTCAAACTAGTAAAATTTATTAGATGGGAAAAACTTATTTTAAAATTAAAGTAAAATAACTAGTGCAGTTGGCGTGTTCCCTTGCGAAGGTCAACACACATTACACAGACTCGCCAACGGAAATTTCCAGAATATTCTACCAAATTCTATTCTTATTGATCTTACTTAAAAAATAAAAAAAAACGTTAAAAATCGTTCAACAAGAAATTAATACAGTTAATTAAAAATAAAATATCCTTATATATATTATACCATACCTAAAATTAATTTTCGGTTGATATATTATCAGAAATCGGAAGTTTGTTAATCGCAAAAGGCAATAGTATATTATATCGCTAAGAAAAGAGCTCGGCTCGGTTTGGTATGGAGTCATACAGGCTTTGCGAGGCAAGTTCGAAGTATGTTTACAAAATACTTATGTATACCGGAAATTGATACTCAGAAATTCACGGACGTGATATACATCGAGCAAAAAGACATCACGTTTGACGACACCCACGAAAATTGTGTTGCCTTTGGTTTGGCCTATGATTTACTAGGAAAAGGTCACAGTATCGTTACATGATCGTTACTGACAATTATGATTCCACATCAGAGACCACAGTTATGTGACATTTTCTTTTTCTGTGATAACACCGATGCCCTAGGAACTGTACGCATAAATAGAAATAATCTTCCAGTACAATTGACAAAAAAGAAGCTCAACAAAGGAGAAACTTTTGCTGTATATACAAAAAACTTCTGTGTCTTAAATGGAGCGATAAGAAAGATATAACCAAGCTAAGTACAACCCATGACGCTAATATGATACAAGTAAAAAATAAAAGAGGGCAAATATTGCAAAAACCAGAAGGCCTAGTAGACTACAATAAAGAAATAGGGAGTCGATCTATCAGATTAATATTTAGTCACATATATAGTGTGGCAAGAAAAAGGTTAAAAAAACACTATCAAAAAATATTCAGGCATTTAGTAGATGTAGCAATGTTCAATGACTTTGTTCTATACAAAAAACTGGTGGGCAATTGTCACATTTGAATTTTAGACTCGATGTTATAGAGTTTTTGAGAAATATGGTTCATCGACAAGTGTTTCAGTTCAAAACATTTTAAATTTTTTTTATTTTTTATAATTTTTTAAATGTGTCTACATTAATTGCAATTAATATTTTAGGTGAGTATTTTTAACGTTTATTCAATGTACAAATTAATTTGCGGTTTTAAATTCTGTTCGGAACGCCACTGGTTCTAAATTTTTTCACTATTAAATTGGTAAATCCTTTGTCACAATTTAACAAACATAACAATTATATTAAAATTATTTTTTATTATTTTATTGTTTTTATTACCCTATACGAAAACATATTACCCACATATGAAAAATGAAAATTTATGATTTACGTAGACGACGTACTGGTATGTTTCACAGGAACTAACAGGCAACTCGATCAATTTTTATCGTATAATAATTCACTTCATAGTCATATTGAATTTACAATAGAAACAGAACAAAATCAATACATAAACTTTTCAGATTTAAAAATTATCAGACTTCAAAACAAACATGACTTCTCCATATTTCATAAACCTACCCATACTGACACGACTGTACACTATTCATCAACCTATCCAACACAACATAAACTGGCAGCCTATCATAGTATGTTATATAGATTAACAGAAATTCCGATGTCAAAATACAACTTTGAGACAGAATTAAATATCATCAAGCAAATAGCAGTAAACAACGGATACAACGAACAAACAATTATTAAAATGTTAAATCAAAAACTACACAAGAAAGTCCTGAAATTAGTATTTCCACCACCAGAGAAAAAAACCCAGTACCTTCTGCTCGTTTACATAATTATAAAGGCAAAATATCAACTAAAATAGGCAAACACATAAAAAAGAAAGGAATAACACCAGCTTTCCGAACAAATAACAACCTAGACAAATATATCAAAAACAACAAGAGCCAAAATAAAAAACACTTACACGGTGGTGTGTACAAACTTAAATATGGCGACTGCCCAAAAACATCGGGCAAACTGGTAGAAACTTTAATAAACGGATAGAAGAACATAAAAGGGCTTTTAATAATAGAAAAACAGATTCTACATACGCACTTCACCTTCTAGATCACAATCATTCTTTTAATGACGAATTTAAAATTCCTCACATTCAAAATAAAGGCCTTAAGCTATCCTTGTTAGAATCTATGGAAATCAACAAATTAAAAAACACAGATATAATTCTGAATGAACAACTTGAGACAAACAGTTCTCCTCTCTTCAACCTATTTCATTAGAGAGTATAAAATGTAAACGCATGCCAAAAATAGATCGCTTGAGAAAGGCAATCAGCCGAAACAGCTGTAATGATAAGTTAAAATAAATTTTGTGGAAGTTTGAAAACAAAGTTTTCAGTGTTTTATTGTTACATTAAATTAATTTCCATCAAGTTACGGTCGAATCCATCAATTATTTAAAAGACTAAAGTGTTGGACGCATAACAAAAATAGCTCACTTGAAAAAGCCTGCCGTCTGCCGAAACAGCCGTAGTGATAATTAATTAAAATAAAAATTTGTGGAAGTGTTGAAAACAAAAGTTTTCTGTGTTTTATTGGTATAGAATATAGTCTGATGAGTCATTTAGTTAGACCATTTTAAAAGTGTTAATATTATAAATTTTCTGCCAATTGTTACTCAGTTTTTCATATACTGTTACTTGCAATAATTGGATTTTGGAACTAAGTTTCAATGATTTTATAGGTAATTGAGTATATCGCATATTCGAATAATTTTATAGGTCCTTTAATTCTATTTATATCTAATATCTGCAAACATGTCCACATTGAACATGATTCCGCTATAGATCTTTATCCCACAGTAGCTTTTTTCTGTTTACTCTATCTTATATTAAATATTGTCGATCTTTTTAGGTATGAAACGAAGCTGACAAGTGTGCTACAACTAAGAAGAGAAATTGAAGATAGCTGTCACAGAGGTTTGAGAGAAAGTTTCGCCCAACATGTCTTTGTCGGCAGTATAGATCCTTCCCAAGCTCTCATCCAATACAGCACTAAACTATTCCTTTGTCACACCAGGACCATACTCGAGGAGCTTTTCTATCAATTCATCATGTACAATTTTCAAAACTTCGATGCTTACAAATTTTCCAATAAAATATCAATATACGACTTGTCTATGATCTGTTTAGATTTGCCAGAATCTGGATGGGAGCCAGAAGACGGCGAAAAGACAAAGCTATCAAAACAAATCACGACAATTTTTACAGAAAAAGCACCAATGCTTCAGGATTATTTTTCTATGGAGATAGACAAAGATGGAAATCTGTGTAGTATTCCTATATTATTAGGTAATGTTTTTAATTTTTTACAGGTTAACACATTCACTGCGCATTTTGAAAAATGTTATTTACCGGGTGCTAATTGTATTTTTTTGCCTAAAAGTCTATCTAATGTGTTTTACATGTTCACGAGAATCAATGAAATAAAAAAAAAACAAAACCAATATCACGAAAAAAGTACTCATACGCACAAAAATGTGTGTTGGAAAAATGTGCGTCAGTCGCCATTTATCGGATTGAGAAAATGAACGCAAATTTAGAAATAATATATACGAACTGTTGATAAAAATATATTAAACAAAATTATGACAAAAACTTACATTATTATTTAATTATGAAATTAATTTATATTGAAACATGGTTCAGTACACAATCCTGGTTTATCAAGGCAAGCTTTACACTCCCAGACGGTAGCTTTTCCTACTTTGTTCTGTGCACACAAGCGACACCTCTTTCTTGGGCTTCGTTTTTCGTCCCGACTGATCTCGATTTTGGTTGGAACGTGGATAACACTAGGCTTTGTCACGATCTTTGTATTTGGTAGGGGTAGGAATTTTTCTATGACTGCTAAGCGGTAACCATAAAATGTCAATTTGTTACCAGAGTATTTGCAGTAAATCATATAAGAATTATATAGTAGCAATTGTAGAATGCCTAGCTTTTTGTACCAAATCAATGTTTTTCTAAGGGAGGGATTGTATGACGTTATTTGATCTTGCCTATCTATATCTATCTATATCTTATTTTTAACCGCTATCATAGTATTTTCGAATTCAGTTGATATGTAGGTAACATCTCTCTTGTCACGCCACTTTCCCACAATAATTCCCTGGCACTATTTACCTACAGTTTCTCCAGGTTTTAATTTTGAAAGCAAAACTCGTGGGAGCACCTTTTTTTGTTCTTTCTTAAAGCCCCTGTATGTTTTGTATGTCAAATGTTTTTTGGTCTAATAGGATTCGAGCTAATTGACAACTATTATAATAGTTGTCCATGTATAACGAATGTCCCTTTTTTAGGTAATTGCTAGTCAGATGCAATACATACTTACACAATACATATTACATACAAGACCTTCTCTGCATGGCCTTTACCTCCCATTTCATCTAGTTGGCCAGTATAGACAGCAAAATTTAAAATTATTCCATTAGATTCCGTTAGAATATATAAATTTAGACCGTATAAATGCCTCTTGATTTTGATATATTGTCTAAACACCAATCTTCCTCTCCACAAAGCCATGGATTCATCCAATGAAAGGCTTTTGCCAGGATAGTACAACCGTTGCATCTTATTGTTAAAATAATCTAAGAATGGTCTGATTTTATACAGCCGATCAATACAAACTTACCACTACCTTCATCGTCCTCGCTTTCTGAAGCCGACTCAGACTCAAATAGTTTGTCTTCATCCTCCGATGACTCACCAGAATTCATGAGAAATTGTAACATTTCATTTTATGTCAGTCTACGAGGATTTATAACTGCAATTTTACGTCTTTTCACTTCCGATGGACCTGGTAGAGTATCATTTAGATCACACATTTAAATAACCTTAAAAATACAAACGGCTAGCAAAACACCTGTATTAATGTTCTATCTATGTGCGTACAACTCGACATGCACACTAGTAAATGGGCGTCATACGCAGCGAATGTGTTAACCGCTAAGTCATAATTTCTCGTCATTTATTGTACAAGATGATCCTTAAGGAGTTCTAATTAGACGTTTTAGAATCATAAATAGTATATATTTTTTGTCAATGGGGTGGTTAACAACAATACTTGGAATTATTCTCTTGGGACATGTCCAAGTTAAATATTATGTTTATATGGGATTAAGCTACAATTGATTGTCATTAAAATTAAATTTTATAAAATGTAATTTTAATGACAATCAATTGTCGAATAATCCCATATAAACATAATCTCTACTATACGTGAATACTAAAATAAAAAAAAAAGAATAATGAAAAAAAAAACAATATTGATTTGTATGTAATGAAAGTTAGGGAAAAAAGATATTAATTAAAGTATTAATTTTTTAATTAAACCTGTTGAAAATTATAAGTAATATAAAATAGGATATGATAGAAAGTTATTAAAAAAAATGTTACAGTATTTACAATATGAAAGTTTATACTGTTTTCCATATTTTTAAAAATTAAATAAAGTAATTGTATTATTTATTTATTTTTTTTTTTCAACAAATTATATTGTATTAAAATAATTCAATGAATTACTATGTTTGCTCCTCACGCCACCTATTGACGTATTAACAAAGCATACGTTATTTACTTCTGAGAGACCTGTCAAATTCATACGAAATATTAAATTATAATAAAATATAAATAAATGTCATTCGATTGTAAATTTAATTATTACATAAACTAAATAATATGTTTAAAAATAATAATTGTATTTATATAATAGTTTTCTTTGATTATTTTTATGAATGTTTAGAAGATGTATGTGTTGTTTATTGGTACATAACTCCTAAACGTCCACGATAAGGACGTATGTGTTTGATAATGTTACATATCTCCTTTATGCCCAAAAACTTCACATTTTCTGAACACATATCTTTTCATGACCACAGTATCTCTAAAAATAAATTCGCTAGAGGACTGGAGTTAGCGCCAAAAAACAACTTAACACGTAACATCTTTATTGCCACTGGCTGTTGGATTTTTTTACATTTTGTTACATAACCATTTCACCTCTTCAATATATCTGAAAGTTTAGGATAACTGGTTTTTAGATAGATTTTTAAATATAATATTGTATTTATAACAGCATATAATTTAATACAAAATACATTCTTACCATATTTTAACACTTTCAGATAATTATCTACCTGATCCGAAAGCTTTGCCAATGTACGTCGTGCGATTGGCCACAGAAGTAAACTGGGAATCAGAAATGGAGTGTTTTCGAACTTTCGCTAAAGAAACAGCACGATTTTATTCTTTTGTGCCAGAAGAACTCAATCAGAACGGAAAAGAGTGGCCTTGGGTTACCGAACACGTTCTGTATCCAGCTATAAAGGAATATTTCATTCCTCCGAAGAAGTTTATAGAAGACGGTTCTGTGTTAGAAATAGCTGATTTGCACAATCTGTATAAAGTTTTTGAGAGATGTTAATGACTGTACCAAAAATATAAAGTATTGTTTTTTTACAAAATGAGTATATTATTTTTACTTTTATCAAACGTATTTGTACCCTTTTCTTCTGGCTTTAAAATTCTTGATGCTAGTTTAATATATACCTATTTTTTTTTATACATGGTATATAGCCAGCTACAGAAACTTAGTTTCCTTGTGGATTCTAGTTTCAAAAGTACAGTAAGCATCTTTTAAATATTATTATGAAAATCCTTGAGAGTGTTTAGTGGCAGTACAGTATACTGTATTTTACTTATAACAGAAGTAGTAGTAGACCAAGAATTCTGCAAGATCACAAAATGCGATGTATCGTGCATCCAAGAAACTAGCAGGAACCTAACTGTTAGAAGACCGAACATCTCAGCATGACACTGACGCTGGAGATACCACACAAGCCTGGGACCGTGATATTTGTCAAAATTAAAACTATACTCTCATCTGTGGGAACAAAGAGCCTATCGTAACCATTAAGATCAGAAAATTCGGTATATATAACCCCCTAGTTAACCCTTTCTATTCTCATTTCTACATAACTTTCAATCAGGCCATATTGGGAGATTGTAACAACTACAGCATACTTTGACGTAACACAAATTTTGATGAAGTAGAATTTTGGGCAGAAGTGCATAGTCCCACATTAATTCATCACTCAATACTGTCTTGTCTTTTCGAAGTATAGAATACGCCTAATAACCACATTTCGAATGCCTCTAACTTTTTTACGGATTGGACATTCAGAGTCTTCTAACCCATATAGCAGTTGTGACCATACATAGTATTCGACGAACCTCAATCTGATAACCATACTCATATTTGTAAATATTGACTTATATTTTATAAATCCTTTTTGAGTTATTATAAATCTTACCTTTTCTCCTCATCTTGATATATCTGCGAGTTTAAAATTGCTCCGAGGTATTTATACTTCTCAACCCTCTCTAACGGTTTACCCACCAATGTTAGATGTATGTTGTTAACAGGGTTTTTCGAGATCACCATATATTTGGTTTTACCTGTATTCATTGTTAGCCCCATCTTTTTGCTTTCTCTGTTAATGATTTCTATAAGAAAATTGCCTTCTTAGTTCCCATAGCATTTATAAAAAAAATGGATTTCGTCGAGATCTTCTTTGCATTTGCAACTTAAACTGTTGTGAAGTATTAGGAAAATCTTAAGAGTGTGACTCATTAGGCTAATTAATCGTTATCGTGAGCATGCCCAACATTGTGTTTTTAGGCATTAAGACAAAGATAGACTTCAGCCTTGAGCCAATCTGCGGGAATCACTCAGCTCGAACTTGCGCCTTGGTTAGCATATAACCAGAAAAAAAATTCAGCGTCCTGACACTTTGGGTTCTGGGGTAAAATAATAAGCGCCAACTACTATACAAAAACTGTGGTTCCAACAAAGGTTACCCAAATTAGGGAAACAGAAGAAATACTTGTTGATGAGCAGTATTACCAAAATGACTTAAAAAAATCTCATCTGACAAACGACTTTTTTTATTCCATCCATCCAAAAGAGAAGATTCATATATAGAATCATAAAAAGCTCCCATTTTTGAAAGTACAAACATCTCTACAAATTATTATAACTTCATGTTCCAGATAGTTATATACGTCTACCAGTTCTACTTCTATGTTAATGTGTTGGTTTGGTTACTAAATTTGACATGATTTTATTCTTAGATATGTTTTTATTTAAACGAACTCTTTCAATTGTCTCAATGAGTCATGTACCTTATCTTTGCTGGTCCTAAAACTTTAGCTGTAATGACTATATCATCGGCGAAACGTAAGCTGTGTAGTTATTTAGGGTCTATTTTTATACCTTTTGATTTCCAATCTAAATTCTTAAAAGCATGTTTCAAGTTTAGGTGACATTGGATTCTTACTTGTCTTCCCGATCTACGTTTTTTTTTCACCACAAGAAGAATGGAAAAAAATATATGTATTAAAATAAATAGTTTATTTTTACAAAAATAAAAACAAAAGTACATAAGAAAATTAAATATATAAAACCTAATAATGTACGCCTACATCTAGTGTGTTATTTGATTCACTTTATTTGATAGTAGAGCATTCACTGAAACCAAAAATTTTGATTAAAACATATTTTTTCTAAAGTCAAATAGATTGTTAAAAATATATACTAATATTTACACAATGTATCTCAAAATTTTAAGAATAACATTTGTATTTGCAGTAATAAATTCACTAAGGAAATTACGAGAAACATGCATGTTAATTTAATATTTTTCCGTCAATTTTGAGGAAGCATTTAGTCAAAGCTACATCTACTTTACAAGTTGTGCTATTAGAATTGGTAACGTTGTAGTAGCAAGTAAGGGTAGGCCGATCTGCCACACACCTTTCACATCCACTATTCTCCAATAGTCTCTAATAGTCTCCAATAGTAGTATCTGATGTAAAAGAATGCATACACAAATTTAAAAATTGCTCATGTGTTGACTACTATGGTTTTAACAATAAAATTATTAAGGAATCGCTAGATATAATTATTGAACCACTTATAATAATATTTAACAAATGTATGAACGAGGGTTACTGGCCTGATGTATTCAAAATATCAAAAGTAATACCACTTCATAAAAAAGGAAATAAAAATGCTCCAGATAATTACAGACCTATTAGCATAGTACCAATAAGTAAAATTTTTGAAATCTTAATTAAAGATCGTATAGCAAATTATTTGGATAACAAATCAATTATATCTAGCTTTCAATTTGGTTTTAGAAAAAAATACTAAATAACTAAAGCTTTATAGAAGTAATAGAACATATTGTTCAGTCATGATGCAGGTGAACCTGCTAATGGTTTATTGTGTGACCTTACAAAAGCTTTTGATTGTGTGGATATTCAAACACTATTGGTAAAATTGGAGTAATATGGAATAGGGGGTACCATACACGACCTTTTAAAATCATATCTTACAGGAAGAACACAGATTGTTGCATTTAATAATCAAGAATCTAATCCTTTACCAGTTTCAACCGGAGTACCACAAGGATCAGTTTTGGGTCCTCTGATATTCTTGATATATATATATATATATATATATATATATATATATATATATATATATATATATATATATATATATATATATAAAATGATTTACCAAGTGCGTTGGATAACACCAATTGTGTTCTTTTTGCAGATAATACAACCTTATTATTTAGAGGTAAAACTGACTACAGTCAGGAAATATTAGAAAAATCTAAATCCTGGTTTAACTGTAACAAACTTAAGTTAAACGAGCAGAAAACCCAGACAATAGTATTTAGTTCTGATAGATGGGTTAAACCATCTGAACCAGTTAAGTTACTAGGTGTTACTATGGATACAAGGTTGAACTGGTTGCACCATATTGAAGGATTGTGTAAGAATCACACAACCTCACAGATTTTTGCTATGCGCATATTGGCTATTTCTTTGAGTCGAGATATTCTTAGATCAGTTTATTTTGGAATGGTTTATAGTATCCTGGCATATTGCATACATCTTTGGAGAAACTCGTCCTATGCATATAAAGTTTTGTTTTCAAAAAGCAGCAATCAGAATTATTGACTCAGCAGAATATGGCGCCAGCTATAAACCCTTGTTTAAAAAGTATGGCATTCTTCCTTTATTCTTCTTCTATTTTATTATTCTTCCTTCAATATACATATATTTGAAACTTTGTTAACTGTTCATAATAATATACAAGATGTAAAAACACATGCTGATCAACATCAGTACAATACAAGAAACAAAAGTCATATCATTATGCCATATTCCAGATTGTGTGTTACACAAATTAGTACAATAGATTATAATCTGTATAATTGTTTTTTAAACCTAAACAAAAATATTGATATTGAGGCAATGAATTCTAAACAATTTTACAAATTTGCAAAACATTTCTTGCTGGAAAACTGTTTCTATGGAATTTGTTTGTTTAGCTCCTCTAGTGTGGTCGTTTTTATGAAAATTATATTTTTTTTTAATTTTTTTTTATTTTTATATTTCTATTTTTCACTGTATATGTTATATTATGTGTTCTTGTATTACTTCTTAGTTATTTCATATGTATACAAAAGTGACTTATTTATATTGTGACATGACATGTAGTGCTTACTATGTAAAAATTGCCAATAAACGTAGTTCTATCTATCTATATTATGGTAACTAAATTTTACAAAAACAAAGGCTTTTGGTTTGGTTTAAGACTTGCATTGTTTTTGTGATTATCGGACACCCCTTCGACAAAGTGGACTAAGGGATTATTTCCCTTCTGCTTTTACAACTGAATCAAAATGTCAATGAAGCAAAAACTGTGGAAAAGTATGGTTGGTCCATTTTACAGTTTGTGCGTTAGGTATAAACTTGTGTCATAAAGTAGTAAACTATTTTTGTGGGTTAGTTCATTATTGCTATCGTACCTCTATTATAAATTTCCTTATCTCTTCTGTAACATCGTCAGATTTGTTATTTAATGTATGCAGATAAAACTCAAAAATATAAAATTCTTTTTGTAGAATTTTTATAAGGTCTACGTTACTCAACTTTTTATTTAAATTTAAAATATCTAATTACTGTTCAGGTTTCTAACTACATAATTAAGTCATACTTACGCCTGTTAACTTTCCTGATGTTTTGCTCCAATTCATCTACTTTATTTTGCGTTGTGGCTAAATTCCATTTAATTTTTTCATAACTTTCTTCATTAAAAATTGCTTTGTATTCATCAAACGCCCTTTGAAGTTCTGAGTTTTTCGATAACTCTTCATGAATAATATGATTCTTACTTTTTAACTGAGATTCCAAATTTTCCAACTAAAATAAAATGTTTCGCATTGTAAATTCCTGTTAAAAATATTATTTATCTCAGTAAATATTTGTTAATATATTCTATAAATATAGTTTAAATAAAGTTGCCATAGTAGTTTCAGCATGGGATAAAACTTAAGAAACATAAACTCTTATCTTTTTATAATAAAGTTACACCTACCAATTGACATTTCGCATCATATTTTTGATTAAAATTCACCAACATTTGATTGGCTTGTACTACATCTTTGGAGAGTTCTTCAATTGTAACTTTTTTCTGTGCTATTACCATACTGGCTTTTTCCATATCTGCTAGCAACTCTCCCTAAAAACCAAATTGAATATAATGGAAAATGGAAGACAACATTCCGAATCTATCACTGAGAATAAAATTGAGAAATACTGGAAAAATCAAAGACGAAATTAATTAAAGTAAAGAATAAAACGCTGAAAACTTTTATTTTCTACACTTCCGCAGAATTTATCACAATTTATTTTCACTACAGCTGTTTCGGCGGAGTACCTTTCTCAAGTAATATTTTTGCTATACATTTACACTTTATAGTCTTTAACTGAATAAGTTGAGGAGGAGAGAACTGTTTGTCTCAATTAATTTCCATATATTCTAATAAAGATAGCTTAAGGCCCTTATTTTGAATAACAAGAATTTGACATTGGTCATTAAAGGAATAATTATGATCTAGAAGGTGAAATGTATGTAGAATTCGTTTTTCTATTATTGAAAGTCCTTTTGTGTTCTGCTTATGTTTGGTAAAGGTTCCACCAGTTTGACCAATGTAAGATTTTTAGCATTCACCACATTTAAGTTTGTATACACTCCAGTGTAAGTGTTTTTTATTTTGGCTCCTGTTAATATAGTGTACTGTTGCCAAGTTACTCATGTGCTGTTCAGATTACAAATGGGCTCAATTTGATTAAAATTCGCGCTTTGGTCATACTCGCATTTTTAAAATAACTTCTTCAATATATTGTAATCATCATCATGAATTACTTTGTATTAAACAAATGGCTGGGGTAAAAAAGTATGGTTTATTATTGTAAATGTTTCAGTATATCTAGCAGGACATTTACTCATTGATATAACATAAATTAATTGATCCTAACTGATATATAGTAATGATATTGAGCTATACTTAATTTTTCCTTTAAAAACTTGTCTTTCTTGTTGAAGGCAACTTCGACAGTCTCCCCATCACCTTTAGTGGTGATCAAGACAGGAAGAGATCATTAGATAATTATGGTTAGCTTAGAGCAATGACAGAAACACTCAAAACAGTTTATAAACAATAGACAAACCCTGATAAACAAAACAACTTATATCATTTTGATATTAACAAAAAATTACAGAAATACAAAAATTGCTTACATTTTTAGTATGAAGTTCTTCAATCAAGTTATCTTTTTCAATTAGTGCTTGCTGAAGAGTATTCAAATTTTTTTCTGAGTTCATTTTCATATTTTGTAAACTATGGTTTTCTTGTTTCAGAAGCTCTATTAGAACATCTTTTTCATTGTTGTCTATTCTCAATTGTTCCATAGTCCTTTTCAATTTCGCACTTGAATCAGATCTTAAATAACTGACAGTTTTTAAACCATTAACAGCATCTAAAGTTTTTAGAAATTTTTGACAAAGTATGTTGATTCTTCTCAATAAGAAGCACTGAACATCGTGGGATTGTGTGTTTATTTTTTGTTCTACATCTTTAATAGCCTTAAAAGAAAAAATGTTTTAGTAGAATCATTATATATAGTATGTCCCAAAAGTATTTGACTTTCATAATTTTGCATGCAAAGGGACTAAAAGGTTCCAGCACACTCTGTGGGATACAAGGGTAATCAGTAACTATTCACAAACTTGTCATATAATGCAGTTACCATTGTGAAATTTCTAATTCATAATAGCATGCTTTTTTAACATTGTGTTTTAGAATCCATGTGATGCAAAATTTCTTTGAAGATAAATGAGCAAAACACAAATAAAACCATTGTGAATCACATTCAGTGGTCTTTCGAGCCCAAAAGTATCAGAAAATATCAGTGCGAAACTTGCCATTGAAAAAAAAAAACTAGAAAGCAATGTTGGAACTGTAAAAACTGGTGTTTCAGGAATTCTAACAGAAGTGGGAACAGCTGTGTACATACTAAATTTATTCCAAAATTTTCCAACGCAGAATAGAAAAATATTTGCTAAAAGTCACCCTGGACAACTTGGAATTGGTTGCTAATGATAAAATATGATTTGTTTTTTTTTTCTCGATAATCACGGTATTGTGTATTATTAGTATGTTCCAAGAAGTCAGAAAATTAACAAAGAATTTAAAGTTTACACTCTAAAAATGATTGTCTGATACAGTGAGAAGAGAACTTCAAATACAAAGAAATACAAAGAATCATAGGTAGCTTTAAAATACTCTTGTAGATGGAGACTGCATAAGCTTTATATTATTTGTAGATTTTTACACATTTCTATTAAAAATTTGTATCATATTGTTTATAGTTCTAAAAACATTTATTTATTCAAAATTATTAAGAGTTAAAATATTTTATTCTCTACAAAAAACAATATGATGCATGAGTAAGATTTCTAATTTTATAAAATGCAAAAATTTAATGCTAAGTATTTCCAGACCCACTCTTTCATATCTCAGAAGCAGTAGTAGTTTGAAGATGAGGGACAGTAGGGTGGTGAAGGGGTGATCACATGAGTGCTCCGTAGTGTTACAGAAACAGAAGTAAAAAAGTAAATTATTGTTCCCATTCCTGAATCAGCATATATCAAAAAATTAAGTTGAAGCATGCTTCTATATTCGATGATAGAATTTTATAGCATACACGAATATCTAAATAATGATTTTGGAATGAATAATACTGGTATCTAGTTTTTAACTGATATTTTTGAGAAGAAATTTTTATTCTATAATATGATTACTACTTTTATTTTGACTACAATTCATTTTCAATTATATTCCCTAGTGGCTAGTGGTGTAATCAGGGAGAGGAGGTTATTCAGAAACCCTCCAGTAGTTGTAACCCCCACCCCCCTCAGGAGATCATCCTGGTTACGTAGTTGAAACATGTGCCTGTGCATTTTAAAAATGTACTTTAAAAAAACTTTACACTAAAATTTTATTACTATATTTTGAATTTAACAGCAGTCCACAAAAACCAGTCCGGATGCAGATCATGGTCCGCCATTTGATAACTCCTGGTATATAGTCTTATTATGAATAAAGAAAAAATATTAGTATTACAATATACAGGTTAAGGCAGATTTAACATATCAGAAAAGAGAGAACAGATCAAGGACCTGAAGGCTTTGGAGAACTATTCATAAAATGAATAAAAGTAATACTAACCAAATAAAACATACATATTGATATTCTACTCGGAAATAAAATGTATTAGTCGATTCTATATGTTATGTCCTAATACTAATTAATTAGTCCTAATTATTCCATTTCATTTATTTCAACAATTTTTAAGTATAAAATAATATTTTACTCCACGATGGTGTCACTATCTAATTAATAAAGATGTTTAATATACTTACATTGTAAAATTGCCTTTCCATTTCTGATTTTAAATAAATTAGTTCTTTTACCTCATTTTCTTTATCTATTATAGTTCTTTTCATACAATTCATCTGTATCTGGAGCCTTTCATTTAAATCCTTAAAAAAAGGTAGTGTACAAATATCTAAAATTTTATGGCTACAAATAAAAAATATTAATAAAAGGTGATACTAATGAATAGGTATCTGGAACACAGATAAAATGAGTATCAAAGGAAAATTTTTCAAGTTAGTATAAAATACAGATAACTAAATCAAATAAAACTTGATGCAGTTCTACTGAATATAATAGCAAGTAAAACAATAACTTTAACATGGACATGCAGTATTAGCAATAAAAGCTGAAAAACTTTAGTTAAAAGTCTCAAATCAAAAGTATTTGAATATATTGAAAACAAAATTCATAAGGCAGACAATAGATAATCCCCCAATTGGATTAAACTGCATACTCTAGGCTGTTAACACAAAGCTAAACAAAAGAATTATGATATACTATATGTTGAACAGCTTAGAGTCAAACACATGCACTCTCTCTCTTTCTCTAGTTCCATCCCCCCTTGTGGAGTATTGGGTGTGCGTTTCTTGGCCAAAAGTTTAGGATTGGCTGGCTGGCCTGACTGGCCAGGTCAGAGCATCTTCTTTCTTGTTTATTCTCTGGATAACTGTGTACTAGTTCTTTTCATTCTCTTCTATTTTTTGCTCTGTTTTTGATTTTGCCCCACCTTACCAAAATTTTTTCTTGTTCTCTCATTGCAGTTCTTTTCCAGCTGTTATCTGGTCTTCCTCTCTTTCTTTTTCCCTTTGGTTGGTATTTAAGTGCTTGTTTTGCTGTGGTGCTTTCATGTTTCCCATAGTTTTGTATTAGTTATTCTGTTGGGCCAGTATATTTTCAGGATTTCTCTTAAAGATTTGTTTACAAAAGTTAGCAGCTTTTTAGTTGTGGTTTAGTCTTGTTTCCATGAATTTTGATGCATTACTAAGATTTTAATTTTTGTTGTTTCTGATATTTTGTTTCTTTGCCAAATTTTATTTAAAGCATTGAATGAATGAATACTATTCTTGTTTATACATCCTTTTTACACCCCCTGTTCTTTGCCATGACATTCCAAATATGTGAATTTTTCTACCTGCTCTACTTCCTTACTGTTTATTATTATTTTATTATTTGGGTGGTAAACTACATGTACTAGTTACAATATAAAAAATAAACAAAAAGTTTGGAATAAACAAAAAACCAACTAATATAACTACCTTCACACATTGTAAATTACTCATCAGTTCATTTATGATCTCTTCCTGACTTGTTGCATGTAAGTCAAGAGTTAAGTAAATAATTGATTTGATTTTTGATTTAGTGAAAAATACTAAGGTGCATACTTGATGGCTAGACATTTCACATCTTAAAAACCTAAAATATACAAAAAGTATCAGTAAGAATCAAAACATTTAGTTTGAAATGAAAGTTGGTTAGTACAAAGCTGCCCGATTTTTGCAATGAACCATCCATAAAAATCTGTTAACAGTAATATATTTGATATAATCCAATTAGCAGACTTTTAAGATACAGCTTTATGTAAAAGACATTTACTTGATACATACATTTCCTTATTTTGTAGTTGTGTCAACATTTCCAATAAGTTGGTTTTAAATTCATTGAAATTAATATCTAGATTTTGTCTCTCCCTTATTATTTGGTAATCTTCCAAATCGATAGTTTCACAGTAATTAAAAGCATATACCGAAGGATCACGTAATTTTAAATCCTGTAAAGTTTTTTGCATTAGTACAAAATGGTAAATAGCTGTAATGAATACTTACTAAAGTTTCTTGACTTTTGCTAATAATTAAATTTAGAGTTTTTTCTTCTATTATGCCAGGAGTTCGTACTACTTGCAATAATAAATTCTTATTGTATACACATGCCATCGTTAAAAGCTGTTCATTTAAAACTGTTGAATATTGTAATTTACAAACAACATAATCCTCCAAATTCAAAAACTTAACCTTATTAATTTTGAATACACAGCCGCCATCTAGATCAAGAAAATTGACATTTTGACAAGTTAATTTTTTGCTCATACAAATTTTATATTCCTAATATGTTTCATTTTGGTTAACTTTTCAGTAAGTAAAAAGGTTTCCACACATAATAGAATTATTATAAATATTTTGGTAATAATTACGTAAAGTTGGTTGCATAACCAAAAGTATCATAAAAGATTTTGTGCCGACAATGATGATCCTGCAGCCGGAAATCTAATCAGACTCATCTTAATAAATTGTCATGTATGTCATTATCTGTCAAATTCCAACATTCAGGAAAAAGATAAAAAATACAAATTTTTCTACAGTCATTTTGCACAATGCTTTAATATAAATTTTTATATTTTTATACAATATTTTGACTTAAACATGGGAATTTTAATATTAGAGGAACAAGTACGTAGTTTGGGGCTATATTTTGAATGTAATTTATTTACTTTTTCTTTTTCAGCCTCTCATAATTCAAGCTATTTTTGCTGGTTTTATAGAGAATGTGAAGGATCTTGTTCAATATAAACAAGAAGTTAACTGTTTAGGTAAATATCCCAGTAAAATCTCAATTTTTTATTGCACCATGTTATTCAGTGTTATTTTTTTATCATGGCCTTTGTAAAACTCCATGTTCTGTTGTTTAAAGCCACTTTAATTTGTATTGCCAAAATAAGTTTTACATTAATATCAGTAACATGTGTATTGAATAATAAAGGATTTTAGGAAATTTACAAAATTGAATATAACCCACCCTGAGTTTGTTAATATCTATTCATTTACATTTATAAAACTATGGGTGAATATTTAGTAAATATCATAAAGGATAATGTTGGATTTTTAAGCATTTCACACCTTCTATATTACTTATTGGACATTATTTGTATCTTCAATGTAGATAGTCATTAAAAAGTAATAAAGTTGGTTGTATATAAAGTAGCAATAAAAAGATTATGTTCCCTCTAAAGAGTCCATTTAAATATTTCTTATTGCACTATATAGTATTTCTTTTCAACCAGTTTTTTATTTTTATTATATACATTCCTAAGATCTATTAATATGTATGTTTTTCTTGAACCCAATGAATAATATATAATATTTTACAGATGAAGAAAAACGTACACCTCTTCATGCTGCTGCTTACAAAGGAGAAGCAGAAGTTACTGCACTATTATTAAAGAATGGGGCCAGGGTGAATGCCAAAGATAGCAAATGGGTTACCCCTTTACACAGAGCTTGTTCCGTAGGAGCAGATAAAGTAGTTGAACTGCTTCTTAGTTACCAAGCAGATGTATGCGCTAGAGACAGGTAAGATACATATTGGAATTTTTTCCTAGTATATTTAGTTTGATTTAAATACAATTCTGAGTTACTAGTAATTAAGTAGCAATGGTATATCTATGATAAATATTTAAAACTGACCATTTAGTTTTCATCTGATTTTGTGTTAATTTTTAAATATTTACTATCAATAAATGTTGTATTTTTATATATTAGTTATTTTTTGGTTAATGTTTAATCATTCCCTAAAGCTCAACATATCAATAATGCTAGGTGAGATCTTATTAAAATGTGTGAAAATATGTTAAAATATTTTGTTTAATCCATTATCTACAGTGCAGTTAACATCAATTCATAAGAATCCTGCACTAAGGTCAGTCAGGTAGCGTCCTGGACTGAGATGTCTTTTGAAGATTCCAGACCCCCCCTCTATAAAGACGAAAAAAAAAGTCCACATCAATTCAAGCAGGGGATTATCTTCATAGTCTCAGGTGTTATTAATTTAAATGTTAAAATTCTGGACAGAGTAAGAACCCCATATTTTATTGTTTTGGTCAAACAATTTTTTGGTGTGAGATACAGACATGCAAAGGTTGCAACTTAAGCACCATTTTCTCCCAAATATGAAAAATGCTCAATCTTTGGAATAGTTCAAGCTATTCAACATATAATAATTTTTAAGATAAAATGATATGAATAGTTTGGCAATATATACCTTTGTTTTTTACTGTCAACTGGTATCATAACTACACTACCAATACATTCCCTTTTTAGACAATTGAAATTTTGCCACAAATTTCACACCTAAAATGCTCAGTGATTTTATTCTGAACCATTCTGGCTAAAGTGCCAACAAAAAGACACTATTACTGTAATATGATGTGCAGGAAAAAAGATGGTGAAAGTGTAAAAATGTATGACTCATAGTATTAAAAAACTTTCAATCATGTAAGTATAAGAAGGAACATTCAAAATATCACATTGGAAGATCAAAAGACACTAATACTGTAATATGCGCAGGAGAAAAGATGGTGAAAGTGAAGAGATGTATGATCCATGGTATTAAAGTAACTTTCACCATATTTAAGGAGGATCATTCAACATATCACATTGGAAAATCAAAAGATACTGACTTGGATTCATACTGTTCCCATTAGTAGCTGGAGAAGTATTCAGTCTATTCCAGTACAGCCTCACACACTTGAGTATGGCTAGTTACAACCAGATGTTGCCTGGCTTTTGAGGATCCCTGTTAAAGACTGGTAACTAACCAGCTATTCAGCTCTCAGCACAGAACACATGTTGACTTTGTACCAATAAAGTTTAGGTCCTAGGAGTTGGAAACTCACCTTTCACCCTCTCTAGTCTACTACATACTGCACACCTATTTTATGCTATATATCCAACAGTTATGTGGTAAAAGCTTTCTGGGACATGAGAGTAGGATTTGTTAGCAGAAGCTGAGTTATATTTTTAGAACCACCAACTCTTTTGTTGGAAAAAGTGGACATTACTTTTTAATAGTACATTTTAATACAGTAAGAACATCAGCAACCTATACTTCCTCCAAAATCCTTTAAAACCTCAAATAACCTGTGATCTGAATTATTTCTAGAAATGTAGACTTAAGCTGAATCCCAAAAAAACTGAATCAGTGTCTTTCCATCTTAATAACAAAATGGCAAATGAAAATATAAACATACAACTCGAAACCTTAGACATAACAAGTATCTGAAACACCTAGACATAACATTTGATCATACTTACTCGTATCGAAAACACCTAGAAAATGCCACTGCCAAAATCAGAACTCACAAGAATATAATCCAAAAACTCAGAGGTACTACCTGGTGCGCCACTGCAACAACATTAAGAATTTCTTCTATTGCCTTAGTATTCTCCGTGGCTGAATACTGCCGTACAGTTTGGATAAATAGCTGACACACCAAACTTATAGATAGACAATTACATTTTACAGTGAGGCTGGTTCCTGGTACTATTAAGATGACACCCACACACTGGCTGCTGGTGCAATGTAATGGATTGCCCCCTATTCTTCTTAAATAGATTGAATCCAAACTAGAATTACCAATCCTAGAATTCCCTCAGCTGCAGTGTACTAGACCAGAAACAAGAAAGCTACCCATAACCACAGCGGAACAGCTCCAAAACAATAACTATATCTATATAAAACAGTGAAGTCTTGATTAAAACCAACAGACAAATGACCCACTATAGACCTGGTTTTAAGGCTACACCTGCAATATCACTGGCATGAAATTAAATCTTGAACAATGGTCCACATTAAATGTCTGAATTAACATTTATTAATATTGATACAAATGCATAAAATATCTGTTTTGACATATTTAATTCAATTTTCAAATCTCCAAGATATTGTTTGCCTAATTTTTATTTAAGGGCACTTTTCACATGTGATTTGTTTTAATATTGTTACAGACTGTGGCAGACACCACTGCATGTAGCAGCTGCTAGTTCTGCTTATAGTTGTGTAGAACAAATTTTGTACCATCTACCAAATCCAAATATACGGGATAGATCAGGCAGGTCTGCGTTACACTATGCAGCCTATAATGGGCACACTTCAATTGCTGAACTGCTTATTTCTAGAGGGTGTATGGTGAATGCCTGTGATAAACGAGACTGTAGGTGAGTATTGATGTGTTAAGTATAACTTTTAGTTATGTGTGTGTTGTATTAATCAATATTCTATAAAAGTATGTTATTCATTTGATTATAGTCATGTCACTTCATTAAAATATGTACACTGTAAATTTTTTTAGCAGATTTACCCTCTTCCAGTTCATAAATTACATTTTAAATATAGTAATTTTACTGAGTTATAAGCAAAAATGCTATTGGGACTTAAATATATGTATGTATAATTTAAGTGAATTTTTACATAGTAATTTTACCTCGTTTAATGAGGGTTATAATTTCTTACAGTATTTTAATAGTCAGATTTACTAAAAAAATTTTAGAGTGTATACATAATCAAAAAATATTTTATAGATTTATAGATTTTTTGCAGATCATGTTAGATACAAAATTGTAGGAAAAGATTTTGCTATAAGTATAGGTTCAAAATTGTAGCCACTATATTTTCAGAAATACGAATGTGTTAAAACGACATTGTTGTCAGGTTGTTATCAATATTTTATCATCTCTTATTTCAATAATTCACAAGCTATCGTTATATGGATAGCTGCTGGCTCCTTTAGTCATGTTGTAATGAAGAATAATTTCAGGTTTGTAGGAGTATTCTTTGCCAGTCACTTTTTCTTCAAAGTGCTCTCGAAAGTAAAATAACCTCGGTTCTTGGTGTTATAATGTAAGGGATTAATGATAGCTACATACTTGAGTAATCTTTTTTATCTTTACTTTTTCGAAGAGTACCGCTTAGAGTTCTTCTCACATAACTTGTTGAAAAGTCATAAACTCATGAAAAAATGGTCAGCTGTTCCTAACACACCTTTCAAATTATCATTCGAGTAGAGGACAGCTCTTTGACCTCAGTACCTTGTTCTCTATATCTGAGAAGCCTTCGCTATTAGTAACTGTTGGTTCTATTTCTTCTATGCTTTAATCAACAATCAAGTCATGAGTATCACGTAGATAAACGTAAGTTATCACGTAATTATATTTATCTTTATATGGATACGATAACACCAACATGGTAAACAATAGAAAAGATTATTTTTTAACTACTTACAATTTTTTTCATTGGTAATTTACTTTTATAATTTCTTCTCGTTTGAGTATCTATCTATTTCCAAATACGGGTCATCATTACAGTTGTTTGTCCTTTTTTGAAAATAAGTATATTAAAATAGTTCAATGGCGCTGATGTTAAAAAATATATTCGATCATTTTGAAGACATGATGATGCTTTTTTCTTCTTCTACCTCTATCAAATTATCGTCTTCTAAATCACTTACTGTCTCCTCATTGATATCAATATCAAGCTCTGGATCATTACTTTCAAGCAAACATAAAAGTTCATACTTACTCAGCCTCTTTCGGTTGTACCTAAATGAAAATTGACTCATGTTCAGAATTTTATGCATTATTTACACGATAACACAAGAAACCAACTGATTCTGGCTAACCGGCTAATTCTAAATATATTATTTCGCTAAATTATATTGCAGCTCTGGGAATTCTCAATTTAAATGTGTAAAACCCCTATATATAAAAGGGTAGGAAATTCTCACAATCCGTACAAATCCATAAAATGTATGGGATTCCCTTATTAAAATTTTATTTGAATATATTTTATATGACATTAAAAGCTGTTTGGGGTATAGGGAGAAGATATGAAATCGAAGTTTAAATTTAATCTACTCGTTTTCTTGTACGAGGGTGGATTGATATAAAACTAGCCTTTGATAGAAAAAACAAGTTTTTTGGAATTAAATCGATTTATTTCTCAACATAGTTTCCTTTTAACTTGATACACTTAGTAAGACGATGTTTCAATTTTTTTATCCCATCCTAATAGTACTTTTGCTCGAGCTCTTCAAAATAGGCCGAAGTTTCAGCGACGACTTCATCATTTGTTGCGAAACGGCATCCTCCGAGCCATTTTTTTAGGTTTGGAAACAGGAAAAAATCGCTGGTGGCAAGACCTGCGGAACACGGTGGGTGTTCCACCAATTCATAGCCCAATTCGTGTAATTTTGCCTTTACGACGGCCTATCGGTGAGTCGGTCCATGGTCTTGGTGAAAGAGCACTTTTTTGCGTTCCAAACCGGGGCGTTTTTGACGCAATTCGGCATCGAATCGATCCAAGAATGCTGCGTAGTACTCACCATTGATTGTTTTTAATTTTTCGCCGCGTTTGTGCCACTGTTACGACTGTTCTTTGGTTTCCGGTGTGTAATAATGCACCCAGGTTTCATAAACGGTGATAAATCGGTGAAAAAATCCTTTTGATCACACCGTATCATCGCCAAAAGCGTCTCCGAAGTGGTCACACGTTTTTGCATTTAATCGATTGTCAGCAAACGCGGCACCCATCGCGCGGATAGCTTTTCCATGTACAAGTGATGGTGAATGATGTTGTGTAAGTGTTCGTAGGAAATGTTTAGGGCCTCTATTAACTTGTGGAGCTTAATTCGACGATATGCCATAATCATGCCATGGACTTTGTTGATCATTTCCATCGTGGTGACTTCATTTGGCCTCCCGGGACACTCATCATCAAAAATACTCGTACGACCACGAACAAATTCAGCTTTCCAAAATTTTACTATTGCTAATGAAAGTACAATCTTACCATAAACTTCGTCCAGGTCGGTTTTGATTTACACGTTCGTTTGACCCTTTTTGTGGAGGAACTTAATCACTGAACGATACCCGACTTTTTTCATTTCTCCGAAAACACAAAATTTGCTTGCTTTTGACGGCTGTAAAAACCAAACTAATGGTATTTAAAACTTAAAATTTTGACAGACGTCATGTCATGAATGGTAAATGTCAACACCGAAACCAATTCGGTATCAAGAAACGCCATCTATCAAAGGCTAGTTTAATATCAATCTATCCTCGTATTCATATTATTTTATCAATAAAATAGATAAACTACAATAGATGGAAGATTGGCGATTAAAAATTAAAATGTATGGATACATAACAAAAATTATGTATGACCTTGATCAGTTCTATGGAGGTTAAGTAAGTCATGACAATGACACATCCGCCTGTCTGCATTAACTAGAACTAATACATCGCAGATACAGAAATAATTCCTCGTGCTCTTCTTGACGGCGACTTGAAAATACGTCACTTTGTAGGAAAAATAACATGAGGAAAACCGAAGCTGAGATACATACAACAAATAGAAAATTATATAACCTTAAAAATAAAATAAAAATTGGAGAAAAAAAAACACGAAACAGATTAGAATGGAGAATAATACGGAAACAGACCAAGATCCAAAAAGGCTTGTCGCGCCAGTGATGATGATTGCAAGATCCAGAGTGGCTCTGAATCATTTCTGAGAACTTAGTGCCAATAAATTTGAAACTTAACTTTGATTAACATGAAGGAGGTACACAAATCGTGTACCTCCTTCATGTTAATATGATTGTTGTCATTAATAGAAAATTATTGATTAGTTGGAACGAACTATTTTCTTCGTTTCATATTTCTTTTGTAAGAATTTTATGTTTATGGGGGTTGATTATATTAGGAGAATTCAGGAATAAAAATTAACGATATTAGATACTTAAAATTTATTTAAATTCGTTTACACTAGTTCGTTGTTAAATCTTGTTAAGTCATTTATATAATTAATTAGTTTGAATTATGAATACTTGTATAGATAATATTACGTTTTTTAGACCATTGCATTGTGCTGTTCAAACAGGACACACTGACACAGTAGAATTGTTGATTAGATATGGAGCAGATATAAATACAAAAGATAGAAACCTCTACACCCCTCTACACGTTGTAGCTGCTAGTGGTAGATAAAACTCATACTTTTTAATTTTCTCTGTTGTTATTGTTAAATACATTTCAGGTATAGATAGTGTGTCTAAACTAATTCTTCAAGCTGGTGGCGATGTAAATGCTCAAAATGTCTATGGTAACACTCCACTACACATCGCATGTTTGAACGGGCATTTGAATGTCTGTCAAGACCTTGTTGCGTTCGGTGCTAACATTGAAGCTACTAACTTTCGAGGACAAACACCTTTACACATTGCTGCTGCCAGTGCACATGGAATGGATTGTTTGACATTCTTATTGAGACACAATGTCGAGTTGGACTGTCAGAGTTTGGATGGAAGAACAGCTCTTCACATGACTGCTATCCATGGAAGGTTTACAAGGAGTAAGACACTTATAGATAAAGGTAAGTTATCACGTAATTATATTTATCTTTATATGGATACGATAACACCTACATGGTAAACAATAGAAAAGATTATTTTTTAACTACAATTTTTTTCATTGGTAATTTACTTTTATAAGTTCTTCTCGCTTGAGTATCTATCTATTTCCAAATACTGGTCATCATTACGGTTGTTTGTCCTTTTTTGAAAATGTATTAAAATAGTTCAATGGCGCTGAGGTTAAAAAATATATTCGATCATTTTGAAGACATGATGATGCTTTTTTCACACAAGTCTGAGGTACATGAGATTATTTTCTGGGATGTAAATATTTCCTTGATATTGATCATGATATTCCCAGACTTCGTCTATTCGCAGAATTTCTCTGCAGTTGTAAATAATATGTCCGACTGTATCCTCTTTATTTTCACAGAGTTTGCATGTTTCTTTGTCCTCTTTCCATCTTCAGAGATAGTAGTAGTGTAGTGTTAAGTTGCCCTTGAATGAGCAGAAGTATTTAGCAGAAGATTTCATAATTCCTTCATTGACAAGAGTATCAGCAATCTTATTATCAGCAATTCATTAAGCCCTGGTATTAATAACAAAGTTAGTTTATGGTGCTTCGTCAATTGCTTAAGGGACCGTTTGCAGTTCCACGCTGTTACAGACTTTTGAGTCCTCACAATGCAGAATTTTCATTGCAGCTTGGCTGTCAGGGGCATTCTTGTCTATATTCATGTTTTGACAACAATGGAAATAATATCGATACCAATGCCAGAAAAAGATTTGAATGACATATCATTTTTTGGTTCGTTTTAGCTATTTAAGCTAGTAGCTTTAAGCTATTTAAGAAGCTGCAGATGTAAAATAAGCATTTACTGCCAGAAATATCTATACCAAGGCTCTGAAACTTGTTTTCTTGCGGCATGTTTAAGTTAAATATTATATTTATATGGGATTAAGCCAAAGTTGGTTGTAATGAAAATTATAGTTTATAATTGTTGTTTGACGGTTCGATTTCCACTGCGGAAATCGTTTTCAAAAACTATTATTTTAAAAATGTACCGAAAATATGTAGTCCGAATATTGCAGATATGCCGGAACCGCAATCAAGAAAGTTTCGGGCATACCTACAACTGGGTCCTCACTATAGATGTTGTACAGATGCTGTAGACGCAGGCCTGGAAGTAATACTAAGTAATGAATAATGCATCTAGAACAGTAGTTGCTTTCACTTGAACAACTAACTCGCTAGAAGGGAACCCAATATACAGTTTAAAAATACCATGGTTGCTATTACGATACTATCTAACTAAACAGTTCATATTGTTACGTTTTTTTATGGATTTAGATATTAAGTGAAGCAAACGTGGTTTAACTAACTTTATTTTCCCTCCAAACAACTCACTAAATCACACTTATCATCAATTCTAATTACAATTAATAATTATGGCCTACAATTCACACGGATATCGCTTACCAAAACACTTTGCTAATACTGATTATCAAAGGTTGTCTTAGCAGGCTTATATAGTATGAACATCCGTTCTAGAAATAGCCAGCGGGAGGACGGTGGCCAGAAAGCTGCCGCAAGATAGAAACGGTGCGTGGAATATTCGGGTCAAAAGAGTATTCTAGACTTCGCTAAAGCCAGGACCGCATTTAGGGGTAACATAACCATATGCATAGAGGGTAGACAATCATTTGCATAATTTTGCACGAGTTATACCATCAGCCGTGATTTTAAAGTGACCGTGGATATAACTATTGACCAAGATTCTTCTTTCAAATTCTATAATGGGAATTGCCAAGACTTACTATTCACAATTTTAGAGTCAACAGATTATACTAAACACACAACGTTTTACAAAATCTGGTTACATAACAATTTTTTCAAATCTTTTAGTATTACTTGTAAGAATTTTATTTTAAATTTATACTAACAGTATTTGATTATATTTATTAGGTGCTCAGATAGATTTTGCTGATAAAAATGGATGTACACCTCTTCACATCGCAGCCCAATACGGTCACGATATTCTAGCAAATACCCTTTTGACATTTGGCGCTAATCCATCGAAAAAGGGTTTTGAGGGACGGACACCACTTCACATGTGTTGCTTATCGGGGTATGTGGAATGCGGTAGAAAATTTGTGCAATGCGGCGTCGATCTCAACGATAAAGATGATACAGGAAAAACTCCAACACATTGTGCTGCATATAAAGGGTAAGAAACATCATACTCCTATAGTAGACTTGGATTATATTGCTGAATAAATTGCTGAACAATACATTATACAGAAGGCAACTCATAACTATATTTTGAGAAAATTTTCTTGGGAATGGGTTCATATACCAATTATTATTAACAGTTCTTTATTTTGAGTGACGTTTCTGCAGGTACCTTATGCCTTTATCAAAACAATATCTAAAATATATCAATGGATTTTGTCATAGCATTTAAAAAAGTTATAAAAACTTAACATCAGATAAAATACATTGAAATTACATGTAACATAAAACACATAAATACATCACAAAAAAAGTTGATAAATTTTTAAAAATTTAGTTGTTATTTCAAATATCTTCCTATCAAACATTTGTTTATATTAGTGGTCTGGTAGCCAGATATGGCGAAAATTTCACCGAGTGATTGCCGGTATAAGCAGTCCCCCACTTACTGACCAACGGCTTGGGGCGTGGGAGTTGGTAAGTGGTAGGGCACCTTTTTGTCCTGGGGTTGAGAAATCGACCCCGAAGGCGGATGAACCAAAATTTGGCCAACGGCATAAAGATGTAGAAGGTAAGGGAAACCACTACATTAAAGATTCCTACGGATATCCCTGGAATAATTATCTTATATGTCGGACAAAATTAAACCGCTACTATGTAACCGCAATCTTGCCTTCAATCTCCGCTACAGGATGGTTAAATGCTATGTATGGTCCATATTGTTATACCGCATGGAAACATGGACGTTAAGAGTACCTTCCATTAATAAGTTGGAGGCCTTCGAAATGTGGACGTTGCGAAGAATGTTCCGCATACCATGGACAGATAGGGTGACAAATGAGGAAGTCTTAAGAAAGGCAAATACTGAGGGAGAACTACTCAATTTGATCAAGGTACGAAAAATTGGATACTTCGGCCATATTCTGAGAGGAAAAAAAATACTCAATTCCTCAACAAATCATCCAGGGAAAGATTGAAGGCAAGAGGACAGGCATAAATAACACTGGCGATCTTTTGCATGCCGCAAAAGACAGACGTCTGGCCTTAAGATAATTCGCCAACGCACTATAGGTGCACGGCACTATAAGAAGAAGAGAAAGTAATGCATTTAATGTTTTTATGGCGTTTAGTCCAGGGACAGTTATAAAATGTTAAAAATAAATTTTGTGTAATAAATTCATGTCCCCCTTGGTATTACTTTACCATATTTATGTGAGTTTAAACTAGAATATAGGTGTTGACTTGTTTGACCAATATAAACTCCTTGACAGTCTTGACATGGAATTTTATATATACTATGTGTGTTTTTTTTTTGATAGGGGAGTTTTATTTTTAAGTTTGCTGAAATATTTATTAGTAAGGTTATAACCTTTATATGTTATTTGTGTATTATGTTTCGCAAATAAATATTTAAATTGTTCAGAAAGACCTTTTATGTATGGCAAGGTTAAATAAGTACATGGATTGCGTTTATAATTTGCTGAATTGGTAGTTTTATTGTAATATCTATGAATTCTAGATTTAAAGATTTTTTGTATAAGATGGTGAGGATAATTGTTTTTAACAGTGCTGGTTTTGCTTTGTTCATTGCCTATTCTCTGTATATGTAGGGGAAAGGATGAGGTAGCTGGTTCGATGATTTAAAAGTAAATATTTGAAAAATTATAGTCTCACCTTCCTACATTTGGTAGATAAAAATAAATATAAACCTCGAAGGACCAGCGACTAATAGGTCACAAAATTGCGGATTAGTAATAATGTAATAAATAGTAAAATTGAAAATAGAAAAATTAAAATAAGAATTCCGGTAGAAATATTTTTATTGTATTATTTACACAAACAAATAGCAGTATCGGAATTGCCAACAAATCACCCTTTTGAAAGATAATAAAAAACATAAATGTTCTTAAAATTCACAACTGTTCCGCTTAATTGTTCTTAAAACTAATTAAATACAATTTATAGTGCAAAAAAGTTTATAGTTTGTTGTATATCCGGTAACCCTGTAATTTGTCGGACCGGCATTAAAAAAATGGTCGATTTTCTTCTGTATGAATGAATAATTTCAGGTACTTACATATTAGATGCACTAACACTGAATTTAATATAGTTAACTATTTAATAAAATAAGTTATACTTGAAATCTGCTTCTATTTGAGAAGCGTGAGAAGAACTATTACTTGCTGTTTGACTTGCGTGCTTCTATTTGAGAAGGCAAAGACGAAGTGCTTGAAATCTATGCAATCTATATGTTAAATAATTATTATTCATGTCCTGTAACTATCCTTTTTAAATTATTATTCCATCCTTTTAGATCTTACGAGTGCCTAGATTTACTGGTCAGCAATGGAGCTGATTTCAAGCTGACAGATAGCTTTCTTCGTCTTCCAATCCACTATGCAGCCTCTCAGGGGCATTACCAATGCGTTTTTACTTTGGTTGGGATCGGTAGTCCAGTGAATGATGTCGATATTGAAGGGTGTACCCCTCTTCATCTAGCCGCCGCGTATGATCATGACAGTAAATGCGTCGATTATCTTCTCGATCACAAAGCTGATCGGAATATGAAGGATAATCGAGGTAAGTTAAAATTGTTTAATGTTTGTATTTGTTTTTATAATATTTAGCTTAATGATCAAACTGAATATTATCTAAAAATCAAAGAATGCAAAAGAAAAGTATTTTTGAGGTGTGTAAAAATTTATTTCTTAGATGAGCGCTTTCGACTTTCAAAGCTATCCTCAGAGCTATGGCTAAGTTTTAAAAAGCACCACTACTACTCAAGAGAGATCCCATTTGTTGGCAAAATCTACAATTTTCCCTTTTTCACAAATTCCCTCAAGTTTTTGAAAAAAAAAAACACATAAAAGACGGAACATTGGACTCCACTAAAAACCACATTAAAAAATTTGTTTATGGTACATAAGGACCATAAACAAATTAAAAAACAAAATTTATTTTAATGTGTTTTTTGTGGAGTTTAATGTGTTGTCTTTTTTTTGTTCAAGATTCAAGAAATCATTTATTTTTCAGGTTTTACTCCGTTACATTATGCCATTGCAGGTGGGAATGTAAATGGCGTTAAAAGATTACTTAGAACCGATACAAGCGATCAAAAGAAACAAGACTGCGATGAAATTAAAAGAATGATGGATAAGTGTTCGGTGGACATTACACCTCTACATTTAGTGGTGAGTACTAGCTTTAAAGACATTTATTAAACGGCTCTTAAGTTATTATTTTTCAGTAAAATCATTTCATTTAAAATAATACATAATCTACTAACATTTATCTGACATGATCAGAATAGAAGCAGAACAGAGACAAGCAAACAATTACTAGATCTTTTACTTAAGTGGAAATGTTTTTTGTAAACAAGAAACAAGTTAACAATTGACCAATGGTTTTCTCGTTGGTCATTTCCTTTTGAAACATAATCTCGAAGAACTCAGTCGGTATTTTATATTTAATATACAGGGTGAGTCGTAACTATTGGGACATAGACTAAGGACAGGTTATTTGGAATAAAATATGGCTATTGGGCCAAATATGCCTTAATAAAATGTTGCTGAGAAAAAAGATACAGGGTGTTAAAGTGGAAATTTAAAATTTTATTTTTGGCTATAACTTTCATGTTTGTAAACATTTATGTATAAACATTTACAGCTGGGTACTATTGAATATCAGAAATTATAATTTGATACATACTTTAATATATCTAATAAAGGGCCCCACATATGCCACATACGTGGGCATACATTTACACTTAACTTTTTTGTTCTTCAAGTTACCGGTATTCTTGATAAAAAATATTAAAGATATATTATTTTAACAAAAAAAAAAGGTATAGAATAGAATAGAATAGAAATAGAATAGAAATATGCTTTATTGTCACTGAAAATTATTGAACAATTTTATGGACAAAACTAAAAAATAAATCAGTCAAATAGTACAAAAAGTATAAAACAAAAACAAATATAGTAAAAAACAGAATAACACAATTTTAAATTAGTAAAATTATTGTATAACCTACATAATTTGTACAGACAACAACAAATGAGACAAATTGTAGCCACTGCTTGAGACACCCAAACGTAATTATAAACAATACTAATTTTGTTTCTTTGTTATACATTAAGAAACTCGTCAACTGAATAATATGGTCTTTCTGAGAGATAGATTTTTGTCACCTTACGAAACTTATTGAAGGATATTGCGGATTTAATTTCTCTTGGAAGGTGATTATAAAGTTTCTTTGCACGATATAGAATAGAATTCTTTACTAGCTGAGTGGACGGGATCGGCAAATAAACGTTACAATCCGAATTTCTAATGAAGTAGCCATGGTCAGGTCTATCGGGAAAAATGTTTAGATGCTTTCGAATCAAACAAACCGTTTCCAAAATAAATAAAGAGGGAAGCGTCAAAATTCCGTGATTTTTGAAGTAGGTCTTGCAATGAGTTGTTTGTTTGAGACCAAATAGATAACGGATTGCTCTTTTTTGCAACTTAAAAATAGTATCAAATTGGGCCGCTGTACTAGAACCCCAAAATGGAAGCCCATATCGAAGATGGGACTCGAATAATGAGAAATATGCCATTTTGGCAGAAGATAAATTTAGTTCCTTCGAAACAGATCCTATTGCAAAGCAAGCTGAGGCTAGTTTCTTCCTTAAGGAGTCAGTATGCAAGGACCATTTGAGATCACTGTTAATGAGAATACCTAGAAATTTCACGGAATTTACGATATTGATTTGGCTCTCATTCAAAAGCAAGGGTTGCATGACTTCTTTATAAGATAATGCTACAGTCTTATCCACGTTAAAGCTAAGTAAGTTGGAGTCTGACCAAGCCTTGATTATAAGTAAATCAGCGGTTATAATTGAATGAAGCGTTGAAATATCAGAGCTGCTCCAAGTAATACTGGTATCATCAGCAAATAGAAAAATTTTCCCTTTAATTTTCAAGTAAGTGATGTCATTAATGAAAAGTAAAAAAAGAATGGGACCTAATACTGAACCTTGCGGCACTCCACACTCAATATCTTTACAACTAGAGTCGGTGTCATTTATTCTAACCAATTGTTTCCTACCTACCAAGTAAGTTTTGAACCAGTTCAAAGGCACACCCCGAATTCCATAGAAAGTTAATTTTTTTAATAGAATGTCGTGATTTACGCAGTCAAAGGCTTTGGATAGTCGCAGAAAACGGTGGCGGAGGAGAGGTTACTGTTTAGTGATATATATACATCATGTAACACAGAAAATATGGCATCACTAGTGCATTTATTAGATAAAAAGCCGAACTGATTTTGCGATAAAATATTATATTTAAGGGCATAAGTCGAACTTTTATAAGTCTTTCAATAATTTTTGATAGTGCTGGTAACAAGGCAATAGGTCTATAGTTGCAGGCATCAGATTTTTCTCCACCTTTATGAAGAGGAATGACGATGGCAGTCTTTAGGCAGTTAGGGAATGTACCTTTTTCAAGGGAATCATTTACTAGCGAGACCATGACCTCACAGAAGCTCACATTCAAACTTTACAACAATTAAAAATTTAGTTATTGCCGACAATTCAAAGAATTACTTCCTTTAAATGTAGTTACATTGGGTTTTTCGATTGTCCTTGGGTAAACCTTTGCGTTTTAAGTTCAAAGCTACCATACATTTCCAACGTTAATAAATAAACTTTTTTGCACATAGTAACAAAAAAACACCACTATGTTGTTACTAGCTAAAGTTTTTTAACATCATAACTCGACATTTCTAAAATTTCACGGTAAGGTAAATGTTTTTTATTAGATAATATATGGTAGCTAATTATAATTTATTCTCTTTCAGCCCTGAAGAAGCCAAATTAATTCTCTTTGGCGAAAACGTTAGGTGGAATAATTGATACACATTAGAGTTTTTTTGCAGATTTCCAAAATATTTAAAAGTTTACTATTTAACTTATCTGCAAAGATTAAATTTCTTTTCTATATATATATATATATATATATATATATATATATATATATATATATATATATATATATATATATATATATATATATATATATATATATATATACCGGGTGGTGAATCGTCAAACGGACCATAGGAAACTCAATGAGAAATTTTAAATTGTTGAATTGCTGCTTCCCTAATTATTTTAGATCAAAAGTCATAAAAAACTATTTGTAGAGGACTAAAATCTGAATTAAAAACAAATGTTAAAACCGTTCTACGACTCAAATGTACTTAAAAATTTTGCAAAAATATAATACATTTTTCAGGCCACCCCTAAAAGTTAGGCCACACGTAATGCAAGAATATATATTAGGACGTTTGTGTTTTATCATATTTATGTCAGATGTTTGACAATTTGAATTGTCAATTTTTTTATTTTATGATTAAATTATAAACAATGAATTTTACTAAATACTACTACTAATGAACATTATTACTTTGTGAACAATAAATTATATTGTTTACAAATCGATCAATATAATGAAATGTACTCAGTTGACGAAAAATCGCATAATGTTGTATTCAGGCAATAGCGCGAACCTTTTCCTGCCACTACCGGATCTTTAATTAACGTAAGATATTCTAATTCACTAAAATTTAATTCCATGTTAAGTTATACAACAATTCAATGAATTCCAATATACTGTTACTGTGATCTTTATTCCTAATAATAATATATGATAATTTCTAAACATAAAACTATAACAAATGTTATAATAAAATTGAATAAAACATTTTTATTATTGCTTTTTTCTTCTCAACTGAGTACATTTTTTAATCAACTTAATTTTTTTTTAACAATAAATCACAAAATTTTGGCCATTTAAATTATAGATAAATGTAATATAATTGATTTAAATATTGTCAAATATCAGAAACAATAATATGACAAAACGCAACACGTAATACACATATTTTCACAGAAAAATGTATTATATTTTAGCAAAATTTTGGAATACGTTTAAGTCGTAGAATAATTTTAACAGTTGTTTTCGATACATATTTGAGTCCTCTACAAATAGTTTCCCATGGCTTTTGGTGTAAAATAATTAGGGAAGCAGGAATTCAACAATTTAGAATTTCCCATTGAGTTTCCTATGGTCCGTTTGACGATTCACCACATATATATATATATATATATATATATATATATATATATATATATATATAAATATATAAATATATATATATATATATATATATATATATATATATATATATATATATATATATATATATATATATATATATATTGTTGTACTTTTGAATGTCTGTTAGCAATAAAAAACCGATATACAAATTTTATTACTTAAATAAAAATTAAAATTATTGATATTTCATAATGACACGGGCATATAAATTTTCAAACATCCTGTATAAGACAAAATATGTATTTTAAGTTGTTCAAAGAATTGTTCATTAGGCCTCAGAGACAAGACTTTCAAATATTATCGATAAGAAATTTAAATAAGTCGGTTATTGTGGAATGGATTTACCCGTAATAAAAGTGTATATAGAAAGTGTTTAAACAATAGAAAGGGATGTGCGGTGGTTTTTCCCCCCGAAAGATTATATCGGTAAAAGTTTATTAACAAAAGACATTGAATTGAGAAACAGGTATCGTTTGTAGCTATTAGTAAGAAATATTTGTAAAGCAGATAGATTTAGCTAGAATAATTAAAGAATGTTGTTTTCTGGAATTACCCGAATGACGTTTTATAGAGAGAGTTGGTTGGTAACGATATACGTGACAGAGGTAGAAGATTTTTATTGGTCAATTTTTGAATGCAAGGAGGGAGTGGTTTTAGCTATGAGATAGGAGAGAGGAAAGGAGTAGTCAGTTTTCGTCGCCCAAGAAGGAAGGAGCTTTGTGGTTTGTGTTTGTTTGAAGTCCCGAAGACGTAATTTACCGGTGTGTTTATTTGCTGTGTAAAAGCTGATCAGTGTGAGGAACGGGGTACAGAGAGATAGAAAAACCAAAGGGTATAAGAATATTAATATCAGACGAAGCCGGAAACATTTGAAGTTATAAACAGGCGCGGAGATTGGTTCAAAAGGAGGCTGCATAGAATTACACGAGTTGTTGGGTTGCAGATACAAGGACAGATAGGAGAAAGGTGTACGTCTTCTGGACCAAAATAGGAGCAGAAGCAGAGAAAGGTTTTTTTTATGGCGTGGCCATAGAATTGCAACGGCAGATAACGAAAGGTCAGTCAATTTTCATTAGAGCAGGAGTGTGGTTTTCATTTATAAATTAAATAAATTGAATAAATAATAGAGACAGTTAATTTTGCGATCATTTAAAAAAAAAATTATAAAGAGAGCTTAGTTATAACACATAGTAAAAATCAATGTAAAATAACATTTGGGTCCATGATAGAAAACAACTTCTCATATATTTAAAGTATTGTATTGCAAATATTACCGGATTGATTGTTATAAAAAATTTCAATAAAATAAAGGACATCTCACATATACTTCAGTTGAAATTCTGTGTATTTTATTCAGGTCATATTACCTATCCCAATTAGGAAGCCAATTGGAAAATATTTTGAATCCACGATCAAAGGTAAATAGTACAAGTTAAATAGCCTGAGATTGTAATTAATTCATGCTGATTTATTGTGATTAATTGGAGATTAGATCATTTAATAAATATAGACAGGATCTTTTCTAAATAAGCAATAGAATACAATTTAAATAGCATAACAATATATATCTTTTATTTCGTATACTTGTTAATAACTTCAAAACTCAACAGTTTTCGAGATAATCGCATTTTACAAATCAACTGCAAATTCTGATTTAACGGAATTACTCCAGGCAATGAAAGAAAAATAGATAAAAACATCAATACTTCTGAATTTTGTTATAAGATACCTTTAATAAAGTCAATAGTTAACGAAATATTAAATAAAATAAATATATCAGCAGGATAATTAATAATAGGATTTGATAAAATAACAGAATAATTGGATTTTACATCAAACATTTTACGTTTTGTATTAAATTAAAGTCATAATCAAAACATTTTATTAACAAACCAAATTAAAAAATAGTTAAACTAAATAACATTAAACTTTTTGTCAAAGTAAGTGTTCGATATGTCCACCACTTTCTTTAATTCATTTGTCAATTCATTCCATAAAATATCGTCTCATCTTAAATAACATCATTGGTTCTAAAAAAACTGCTGCAGTATTTATTATAGTTGTTTTAAGTATAATAATAAGTAATTTTTTGAAATTTTTATGAATTAAATAATTATTATTATCTCACCACAAGAATATGACTACCACGAAGAATCCAACGTTCAGGAAAGTGTATTTAGAGTTAGAGAGTTAGATTTATGACTCGCATTTGATTTTTGCACTTCTAGGTAAATTGTTATTTCATTCAGTATTAGTATTCAGTATTAAATCTTAAGTTTTTTTCAGGCCAAACTCGGAAACTTAGAAATCCTGAAAATGATAATGCCTTATTTTGTCGACGTTAACATTAGAACAAATCAAGGGATAACTCCATTGCTGCTGGCGGCACGAGAAGGCCATGTGCAGTGCGTACAATTTTTACTCCATTTCGGTGCCAAAGTTGCTTTAGCTGATTATATAAACAACATGACGCCTGTCCATTACAGTGCCAAAAACGGACACTCTCAGTGTTTGAGTCTATTGCTGCACAACAGCGAAGATCAGAATGTTGTTAATATGCTGGACAGGTAAGATATTTCATTTGTTCATTTTTTAAACGTTGTACGTATCGTTCCTTGGTTTTTATTCAAGAGAATCCACCTTGATTTTTATTCAAGAAAATCCACCTTGATTATGATATAAGAAAATTTACGTTGACATGGATTTTTTGGTCGAAGAATACGAAAATGAAATTGTTTTTTTTTTGAATAAGAAATCCATCTCGATTTTGAAAATCCTCATGGTTTTGGATTGGAGAGGGATCCACATGGTTTCGGATTAGCGGCATGGTTTTTGCAGACATTGTATGGTCCGAGTTGAGAAGAGAACAGCAGGAGGATTTCTCATAGAGTAGAGCTAAGTTTCTTTATTTCTTGAGATTTTGTATGCAGATGCTTAATTCCCTGTTGTTAGAACCTCAATTTAATTGTTATTACATTTTGATTTATTAAAATATAAATAAATAAAGATATGTGTTAAAGAAATTATTTTATTAATAATTTCCCATTTCTCAAATTAAGTTAGTTTATGCCGAACATCACCCCTGAGGGGTTTCAATGTGCAATGGATGAGCTAGCCGTTACACAATTTACGTTGACATGGATTTTTGGTCGAAGAATACGAAAATGGAATTTTTTTTTTGGAATAAGAAATCCATCTCAATTTTGAAAGTCCGCATGACTTTGGATTGGAGAGGGATCCACATGGTTTCGGCTTAGCGGCATGGTTTTTGCAAACATTGTATGGTCCGAGTTGAGAAGGGAACAGCAGGAGGATTTCTTATAGAGTAGAGCTAAGTTTCTTTATTTCTTGAGATTTTGTATATAGATGCTTAATTCCCTGTTGTTAGAACCTCAATTTAATTGTTATTACATTTTGATTTATTAAAATATAAATAAATAAAGATATGTGTTAAAGAAATTATTTTATTAATAATTCCCCATTTCTCAAATTAAGTTAGTTTATGCCGAACATCACTCCTGAGGGGTTTCAATGTGCAATGGGTGAGCTAGCCGTTACACATTTGGCTACACGCACAATTGGCACAATTGGCAAACGGCTAGCTCACCCATTGCACATTGAAACCCCTCAGGGGTGATGTTCGGCATAAACTAACTTAATTTGAGAAATCGGGAATTATTAATAAAATAATTTCTTTAACACATATCTTATTTATTTATATTTTAATAAATCAAAATGTAATAACAATTAAATTGAGGTTCTAACAACAGGGAATTAATCATCTATATACAAAATCTCAAGAAATAAAGAAACTTAGCTCTACTCTATGAAAAATCCTCCTGCTGTTCTCTTCTCAACTGGGACCATACAATGTCTGCAAAAACCATGCCGCTAAGCCGAAACCATGTGGATCCCTCTCCAATCCAAAGTCATGCGGACTTTCAAAATTGAGATGGATTTCTTATTCCAAAAAAAAAAATTCCATTTTCGTATTCTTCGACCAAAAATCCATGTCAACGTAAATTTTCTTATATCATAATCAAGGTGGATTTTCTTGAATAAAAATCAAGGTGGATTCTCTTGAATAAAAACCAAGGTGGATTCTCGTTCCATTGTGATGTTTCAATATCAAGGTATACGAGTATTTCGATAATTTAATACGCGTTTAGTGACATATTTCATAAATTAAATGAAACATTTTTGGTTCGTCACTTTATGTTGAATATTTATGATACTTTTTAACTTTTTGTTTTAAAATAAATGAGTAAAATCGGTGTATCGGCGAATAAGTCTTAAAGAGCCCGTAGTCATATAACTCAAAGGGAAAAAATTCTTTGTTTATTCGTTCCCTTTACTGTTTATCATTGTTTTCAAGTATTAATATTTTAATTTAAAATATATTTTTCTTTTTATTCATAGTGATGTTTTCATTTTTTTCCCCAATATTCAGATATAAAATTCACACCAATATAAATCTTGTCAAAAACCACTCTTATATAAGAATTATGATCATTTTATCATCATATATTAGTTGCTATTGATCATGTAGGTCTTTTATAGTGGAATTTTAGTTAGTTTATATATTTTTTCGATATCTGAAATTACTTTTCCGTTTTCTGAAAGAAATATATTGTAGTAATTTTGTAAATTTAAAAAAGTGTGCTAGGGTTTTAACCCCTAAGTATTAAAATGCAAAATAACCTTAAAATATAATGGTTAATATAATGACTCGTATCTAATACCACGCTAAATGTTTAATATTCATTAACCTTATGTGAACTTGAACTGGCATGTCGTTTACCTTCGTTAGAAGTGGTATGCCATTGTCTTTAATCCATTTATAAACTCTTTTTTGAGGTATGACAACCTGCGCTGCCCTGTTTGAATACAAAATCTTCCGCTGATGTTAAATGTTCTATAATCGGTAAAAAATATTCTTTAATCCCATCGATAAAGTGTAACTTTCCCACACCTTTAGACGATATTCTGCCCCCAGATAATGACAGATGCAGGAAATTTGACTTTTCTCTTCAGATAGTCGTAATGGAAAGCTTCATTTTTCCTGCGAAGACGCGACTCCTACTGTCTCCACTCCAACTCACACTTAAAATCTGGACTGAGTCCAATCTTTATGCTCTTTTGACCATCTTAGTCTATTTTTCATTTGTTGTAATGTTAAAAGTGCTTTTGCTTACCCTAAAATAAAATGAAATTTATTAAATACAATTCGTACTAGTTTTTTCAACTGTAAACCTTACTTTGTAAGTATCAAATCCTAATTTGTGGGCCTCTTGGTGACGTGTCTTCCAATAACGTCACTCCATAAAACGCTTAACTCCATATAATTTTCTCGTCGATTTTTCACTATAATGCGTCTTCAATCAATATTCTTTATTTCATCTGACTTTTACAAGTATTGAAATGCGTCAAAATACAATCTAAACAACTGTAGGTACATAGGTAGTAAAAAAAGTTAAAACTATAAGCACATAAAACATAAAATATACACAAAAACATACAAATTGTTAAAAAGATGCCTGCAAGTATTCCTCTGACGAATAGAAAGTGTTTGCCAGAAGTAAGTCCTTAACTGTTCTCTTAAATACATAACATAATTAGGTAATTTATTATACAAACTAACGCATGTTGGGTAAGGGCCCTTGCCCACAACAGTCATTAAGTAGCCACTCATTAAGGAGACATCATTTCTGCAAATAAAAATATATCTATGTGACTTTACATAAACAACACAACTGAAAATATAGAGAGAAATTACAGTTAAAATATTTAATTGTTTAAAAACTGGTCTACAGGAATCCAAGCGCTTTCTAAACGTCATGGTACGAATAATTTTTTTTTTTTTTTTTGAAGAACAAGCACCTCATTAATTCACGAGCAATTTCCCCAACAAACTAAGCAATATTGCAAAATTGATTGTACATGAGCAAAATAGTAAAGTTTCAAGATATCTAGGGAGACAAAATTCCTAAGTTGCCTTAGAACATAACAGTGTACAGACAATTTTCCCACTACAAAATCAACGTGAGAACTCCAAGACAAATTTGAATCCAGGTAAACACCTAACAACTTTGTGGAGTGGCTATTTACCACAGACCCATTGTCAAGCTTTACTAATGGACTCATCTGCATAGTAGAAGGTGAAAAGGTTACCATATTGGTCTTTGATCCATTTAAGATTAAGGCATTATTTAAACAGTAATGAGTCATACTTTTTACTAGACAGTTTGCATTTTGTACTACATGAAAAAAATTATTGGAATTTAGTGCAACTGTGGTATCGTCAGCAAATTGAGTGACGTAACAGCCTGATTGCTGTTCCAACTTTTCTCCTCGAACGCTTATTGCATCAGAAAAATTATCTAATGGATTCCGAACCAAATATGTTGTGCTATCGTTTATCAGTTGATTTAAATCATTGACGAACATCAAAGATAAAAGAGGGCCAATGATACTTCCCTGTGGAACTCCGGAGAGGACACTTTTTCTGAAGAAAATATTATATTCCCATTCACATTGACCTTAATTTTTTGAAACCTTTTCGATAAAAAGGTTTGGATCCACTTTAACGCAGTTGCTCTAACACCACTATGATAAAGTTTTTTCAGCAGTATTGGATGATTTACAGTTTCAAAAGCTCGTGCTAAGTCAAAAAATAAACGGATAACTTTATTTCCCTTATCAAAGTTCGATAAAATATGATTGCACAGCGCTAGTAGTGCATCTTGCACACTTATACCTTTACGGAAAACACATTGAGATTTTTCTATAATGTTGTGCTTTTTAATATACGAGAGGAGATGTGTATGAAATGCCTTTTCATATATTTTTGAAAACACAGATAAAAGTGATAGGCCTCGATAGTTATCAAATTTTGATTTGTCACCTTTTTTATGTACAGGCACAACTAGAGCAGTATTTAGAATTTGAGGAAAAATCCCTTCCTGAAATGAAAGGTTTACTAGAAATGTTAATTGTTTATATATGTTATGAGATACATGTAATAACATAGAATACGGGATCTCATCCAGTCCAGCAGAGGATTTTTAATGGTCTTAATGCCCTTCCATCTGCTTCGATTATTTTACTTTTTCGTACATTTCTAGGTTTTGTGACAACCGAACCTGTAGTTTCTTATCTTCTGACTATATTTTTTACACCATAGTATAACAATTGCTACATGCGATTTCCGAGTTGGATTTTCCAGAATTAAAAAATCTAATAATAATTTTTTTGACAAATTTTCTCATCGATAACTTAACCTCGACCCATTGTACAATCCACAAACGCCAAAAAGCTTTACAATACTACAAAATACATTTGATAGTAACTGACAATATTATTGTTTTGATGTCATTTTTCCATAGCTACCTCTAGATTTAACATAATTATGAAAAAATCAACGTATGTTGACATAAATGAATGCATAGCCAATGTTTAGTGATTTTTTTATTATTGAAAATAAATTAAAAACCTAAGGGTAATATTTTTAATAAATATTAATAAAAATGCCATATTGATTAAGATGGGAACTTATTATAGAAATAAAAGCATGCAGAGTATAATTTGTTTATGGTAATCGACTTAAACTTCAAATTCCATAGGTGGACCAACTGATATGGGAAGGGGCTCGTATTATAATAATGTAGACATATTAACAAAACAATTTACGTTTTTATACAAAGTTCAGAATGACTGAATAGGATATAATTAGTTAGTTCATGCCGTTTTGAAGTAGCATTTACTTTTTCAGTCCTCTCTTTTCCAAGTGCATAGAGTCTAACCCTAAGGTACTCATAATTAACCATCTTAATGAGCTCCATACGGTGACAACTAACGTCTACCACTTCAGTAAATAAAAAGAAAACATTGCCCGAAGAAAGGTTATTTACTACATACAGAACACTGCCATTGACTTCTTACCATTCACACACGAAACATTTTTGAAGTCATCAGTTGCCAAGAACAAGGCTTTTTCTGTGTTTCCACAACCTAAAAACTGTCTTTTGTAGTAATCACTAACCCACCATTATTTTTTAAATTTACTAATCTGATAAATTCTCCAAACAGATGTAAAAAAATGATAGTATTGTGGTTTAAATAAACGTTAAATACCATCTAAACACTTCAGTTTGGTAACTATTTTCCTAATAATCTACCCACTCATATAAAAAAGGATCCAATCCTTTAATTTAGATTTCTCATCTCCTACAAGCACAACTCTACTCTACGGTTGCCCATTTTAGAGGGTGATAGGATGTAATTTCAATTCATAACAATTAAGATGGTAGGCCGAGTTTAAATTAATAGGCTTTAACACTCGTCGAAATTCATGTTCTGTCTTAAAGTGTTTTGTAGTATAACACAATGGTCTGCACCAAACCCTTTTTACAATTTTCCGAAACCACAAACCCAAAGTTAACTAATTATGATTTAAAAATACACTCATATAAGTAAAAATTATTATTTTTTGGCCAGGATTATCTTACTTAAAACCAGTCACAAAATTACACATAATTTCAAACGGGAAGCACGTGAAATTTCAAGCAATATTTACATTTTTTGTCCCCTTATTTGTGTCTCGCTAAAAGACAACACGTGCACTAAACTTTAAAAAATTGGCTTCACTTATTGTCCTCCAGTTCCACATCTAATTTATTATTACTACATGTATGTATCCAATAATGTTTTAGGCAACATCGGACGGCCTTGATGTTAGCTGTCTCTGGGAACAACCTAAAATGTGTCCATACCTTGTTGAAATGTGGAGCAGATCCTAATATTGTGGATACCGACGATCATTCATGTCTTTTTAGAGCAGTATGTATTTATTTCATTTTCCTTTTATTTACTTATTTAATTTAGGAATTAACTCCAAGAAGAACCGAAAGAGAAGAAATCTTTCAGAACAAAAGGAAGAAACTGAAAAGGAAAAACGCTTATTAACTTTCCGCTTATTAAGCTTATTATTTCAGAACAGCCTCTAGCAAGCAAACAGCGTTTTCCGTAGAAATAGTCGGTGGAAGTGGATATGGAAAGGCCCAAATGGTAGAGTGCGAACTGAAATTGATTTCTTCATAACAGAAAAAGGAATTTTCGATGATTTTACTCATTGCCATTTAATACGGGAAGTGATCTTAGAATGGTGAGAGGGAACTAAATAATAGAGCTCAAAACAGAAAGATACAAGCTGATAAAAAAATAAACGAAATAAAGACATCCGTAATCAATATAAGGGAGTTGGAAGAATGTATAAATCTATAAAACTGATAGCATAGCTTTCTGTAAAAAGTAATTCTATAGACTCTCTCAACATTATAGCGGTGGTAGGTAAAGCGATGCAGAAAGCATAAATTAAGGTATGCCTCAATAAAAAATAGGCGAAAAACTTGACCGGAAAGAGAAAATCTAATGACAAACAGTAAAATTTTAGACAGCAAGGAAATATAGATGACAGAATGGCTAGATTTCGTATAGGATATAGAACAAACGACAAGTTACATTGAGTACATAAATCATTGTTGAAGCACGTACAGAGAAGGTAAAGATAACTGACACGAATTTTGTTAATTTACTACGTTAAAAAAATAAAGGCTAGAACTGTTGGCAGAATATTTGGAGTACAGCCTTCAAAACCTAGAGAGCATAGACTTGAGAAAATAAATATTCCCGTAATAAGTGCCCAAAGGTCATTGTATATTAATATTGGGTAACACCAAGTCAGAAAAAAAGAAACCATTGGTTTTATTATAAGTGTGAAATGGCCACAAATAGAAAGAACGGAGTATATCAAAAAACCACGACCACGACAAAAAACCAATTTAAGCCACGATTAAAAATTTATAAAGACACTAACGGTTAAATTCTACATGATAAAAACTCAGTTCTTAACATATGGGCACAACATTTCAGCGAACACATAAATATAAACGATATTGAAGGAGGTTACAACATAGATAATCAACAAAATCTACAACGTCAACTAAAGTAAAGACCTAACAAGAGAAAAAGTGTCAAATGCCATCCTAAAACTCAAATAAAGCTCTAGGAATCGATGAAATCTGTTCGGAAATATATAAAAAAGGTGGTTATCAACTTTTTGCAGCAATCCATAAACTAATATGGCAGAATAAATTGGTACCAGAAGAGTGGCTAAAGGGAATAATATGTCCGTTGCATAAAAAGGGTGATCCACTGGAGTGTAAGAACTATAGAGGCATTACTCTGTTAGCATCTGCGTATAAAATCTTCGGCAATATATTATTTGAAAGACTTAAATATTTTACAAAGGATATTGTTGATCAATATCAATGTGGATTTAATGCTGGAGTGTCAAGTACATATCAAATTCAAAACATAGGCAGATTCTAGAAAAGTCAATAGAATATAACATACATACACACCATCTCTTCCTCGACTTCAAAGCAGCCAATGACAGTGTGAAAAGAACTGCATTATATACTGCAATGGTAGACTTTGGGATCCCACCTAAGTTAGTTAAGTTGAGCTAACAATGTAAGTTGAAAACGAACTGACCAAGGATATCCAGATTCGCCGTGGGGTCCGCCAAGGGTGTATTTTATCACCCTTGTTATTCAATTTATACAGTGAAGCCATCTCAGAATTAGCGCTTGCCGAGATCAGTGAGGGCCTTATAATAAACGGTGAGCCATTTAATAACATAAGAGATGCTGACAACACCGTCCTTTTGGCAGGAACACTAGAAGAACTGCAACACCTTGCTGAACAACTAAATATATATTGCAACGATTATGGACTAAAAATCAATTTGAAGAAAACAAAGTTCATGGTATTTACAAAAGCACAAAACATCAAAGTTAAGCTAGTACTAGACAATACAGAAATTGAACAAATATCTTCGTACAAATACCTTGGAGCATGGATCACAGAAGATACTGATCAGACAAAAGAAATAAGATGCCGCATTGAAATTGCGCGGTCAACTTTTAATAGAATGAGAAAACTTTTTTGTAATCGCGATATCAATATATCGCTCCGGATAAGAATGCTTCGATATTATATTTTCTCTACCCTTTTGCATGGAGTTGAAGCTTGGACACTTAAAAAATCCAACATTAAAAACCTAGAAGCATTCGAAATGTGGTGTTACCGACGCATTTTGAAAATATCATGGATGGATCGCAAAACAAACGAACAAGTTCTCGAACAACTAGGAAAACAATGCGAAGTTTTAAATTCCATAAAGATCAGGAAATTGGAATACTTGGGGCACATCATGAGAGGTGAAAAGTACGAACTACTAAGGAATATAATGCAGGGTAAAATCAAAGGTAGAAGAAGCGTAGGAAGACGTAAAATCTCGTGGCTACGCAATCTCCGTGAGTGGTTTGGATGCAGTTCAATTGAACTATTTAGACGAGTAACCAATAAAATTAGAATTGCCAGAATGATTTATAATCTCCGATAGGAGAGGAACTTGAAGAAGAAGAATAACGTAAAACGTAAGCTCATGCGTTAAAATTGAAGGAGAAAACTCTACGTTTTTTGACAATAATAATGGTCTAAGACAGGGGGACGCGCTGGCGTGTCTTGGAAAAGGCAATCAGACAATTAAATATTAGAATGAATGGAACTATTTTTAATAGATCTACGCAAATTCTCGAATTCGCTGACGATATAGTTATAGTGGGCTGACGTATGAGAGACATGGTGCAGTGTTTTACAATTTTACAATGCCTGCGGATGCATCAAGTGAATTAGGATTTCTGGTAAACGAGAAAAAAACCAAATATAAACGCAACAAATACGACAAGTTACCAAATAAAAAGACGCATAGCAATAGCAAACAGAACTGTTCACGGTCTCCAGAAACATTTAAAAAATAAAAATATAAAACGTACAGTAAAGCTCAATATATACAGGATCTTAATAAGACTGATTTTGATATACGGGGCTGAAACCTGGACCTTATCTCAAAATTATGAAAGACTTCTTGGTATTCTTGAGAGAAAAATTCTTAGAAAAATCTTTGGGGCCGTAAATGAAAATGGGCTATGGCGCCGCAGATACAACTTTGAACTATATCAGTTCACCGATCCAGATATTGTGAAATTCGTTAAAGTGCAGAGACTTAGATGGGCTGGACACAGTTAGGATTTCAGATTGCGAATAAACGAAGAGATTAACATTTTCAAAACCAGAGGGCACAAGAAGTAGATGACGACCACGAAGGAGAGAAGTTGCCAGGAATCGACAGGAGTGGCGACTTCTTTGTGAGCAGACCAAGAAACACAATGGATTGTCGAGCCACTTATGATGATGAAAGGTCGCTGTAGAAAGATCTTGCAGTAAACAACATTACACAAACTACCTGATTAAAAATCGCAGATGAATAAAAAAGAAAATTAGCAAAAAAATATCAAAACAAATATGGAAATTTATAACCATAACCAAACTATAAGAGAGAAGCTATATCAGAAATAATTGAACATACACAACTATAGTAAAATTTATTAAGCGATGCAGGAAGATGTAAATATTAAATCGTGTCCGAACCGGTATGAGCTGCTGACAACGTCGGCAGACCAAATAACGATGGACATTTCGGTTAGTTTTTAAATATTTTTGAAGAACTGTTACCTGCATTTATGCATAAAATATTCATTAATTTTATAAATCGGATAATTTTTTTACTTACTATGTATTCAGTGATAGCATTAATTTATTTACTATGCAATAAACACGAATATTTGAGAAAAGAAAAAAAATAATAAAGTGTCATAATTATACTGTTACTTATCGGGACGAGTAGACTCATTTGGAACATCTTTAACAATTATCTGTTAAATTTATCGTTGTTTATATGCCCTGCATCGCTTAATGACATAAGGTATAGAAATATTTATGAATTCTAAAAGGAACACTAAATAACATCAGATAAAGGATAATGTTTTAAACAAGAGTAAAAAAAGAGCGCGGTATAGCGAAAACCTCACACGAACTGTGATCTAACGAATATTCTAACAACAAGCATGGCTCAGCATATACCGAAAATTACATAATTAGAAATTAAAAAGCCTCTAAGGTACTGGTACTTTTAAAAATTACCATCCGATCAGATAAGCAGCAGGTAGGTTTCAGACCGGCTTGTGGTACAAATGATCACGTACTAGTTGTAAAAATGTTTAAAACAAAGATGGCGGAATACAACAAACCACTGGTTTAATACGGAATATAATATTTGTTAACTACAAGAAAGTTTTCGACTCGGCACACCAAGACAAACTAATTACAGCTCCAGCTAATTGGAGTATAAACCACAGATTTGTAATATGTTAAAAACGTATATAACAGCACAAGGTCGGGATCACTGGAAACGACAAGACAGGCCTGTACCAAACAGTGTGTAACTGCTGAGTGTATCTCTATAATAATCTTTTTTTTTATGGTTTAAGTTTAAATAATAATTATACAAAATGAACTGTTATTTTTAAGGTTGTTAGCGGACAAGACGGTGTTGTACAACTTCTTCTTTCTAGTAACGCGAAAGTTGAAACTACTGATATTAATGGCAAAACGGTGCTGCATCTAGCTGCTGCTTGTGGACACTTGAACTGTATGCATATGATTCTAGCCTACATGACCGAAGAGCAAATAATTGCAAAGGATAAACAGCAGTGTACAGCTTTACATTGGGCTTGTTATAATGGTAAGATCAAATTGAATGTTATGTTTAATATATATATATATATATATATATATATATATATATATATATATATATATATATATATATATATATCTATATAAAAGGCTATTATGACAAATCACACCGTTTGTCCAGTAAGGTAACTACGCCACCTAGGAAAGAAATCTGAACTACTAACATTTGACATTTCAATCATATTTTATTCTTGAAACTCTACAGTTGATTTATTGCCTAATTCATTCTACAAATTGATGATTCAAATATTGTTAATCAGAAATTTGACTTCTTTTTTACGTGCCATCTCTGCGATGGAGGTTGGTCATCATCATGGCTATTCTGATCTTAGATGCTGCCGCTCTGAATAGTTCGATTGATGTGCATCCGTACCACTCCCTCAAGTTACGCAACCATGAGATTCTTCTCCTTCCTACACTTCTCTTGCTCTGGATTTTCTCTTGTATAGTTAATTTAAGTATGTTGTACCATTCATTACGCATAACATGCCTCAGGTATTGCAGCTTTCGTGTCTTGGTAGTTTCCAATATTTCCATTCTTTTGTTGACTCTTGTGATGACTTCGGTGTTTGTTACATGCTCGGTCCATGATATCTTCAGGATTCTTTTATACAGCCACAGTTCAAATGTTTCCAACTTTTTAGTAGTCGACTCGTTAAGTGTCCATGCTTCTATCCCGTAAACAGAGTCGAGAAAATATAAGACCTTGTCAGTCTAACTCTCAAATCTTATTTCAGTTTTCTTGTACAAAGTACCTTTCTCATTTTATTGAAGTTTGTTCGTGCTTTTTCTATTCGAACTTTGATTTCTTTGGTGTAATCGTTTGTGTAATCGAGCTCTTTTCATACTTCCTTCAGAGTATGCATTGAATAGTAGTGGTGACAATACACACCCCTGTCGAACTCCTCTTTTAATTTCGAACTCTTCTGATGTGTGTTCATTTATGCGTATGTGTGCCTGCTGTTTATAATATATGTATTATATTGTATAATATAATACATATTATACAATATTGTGTACCTGCTTGTATTGTAATTGTTTTGCTTTGAGGACGCCCACTAGCTCTTTGTGGCGGACTTTATCGAAGGCATTGTTGTAATCTATGAAACAGACTTACATATCTTGGTTCTCATCCAAGCATCTCTGGATTAGTACGTTAAATTCAAAGAGAACTAACGTGTACCTACGCCTCTACGTAATCCAAATTGGGTTCCTTCAATATCCATATCAAGTTTTTGGCAAATGTGTTTAGGGATGATCTTGAAAAACAGTTTAAGCATTTTTCTTTTTTGGGAGACACATAAATGTTGAGATCAACCATTCATTGAGTATGTCACCCGACTGATAAATTTCATTAAAGAGCTTTAAGAGGACATCCATGTTCTCATTTTCTATTATTTTAAGGATATCAATAGGCAGTTGATCTGGCCTCGGGATTTTTTTCGTTTCTGGTGTTCTTTAGTGCATACAATATTGCTTCCTTTGTAATTTCTATACTTGTTTTTCCTTTTCCCTTAAATTGTGACTTATTTCCAATAAATATAGTAAGTGCCTTCAAACATTTGTTGTAGTTTATTTTGTTATTTCTTTCTTATTGATTATTGTTCTTCCTATTGACCGGTATAATTTATCCTTTATGTATCTATCCTTTTATTTATCTTTACTTCTTGTCTGCTAGTTTTTTCAATTGTCACTTCTAGTCTGCAAACGTTTTCACCTGTTTAATTTCTATTTATTCAAGCTGGATTTGAATATCCACAAACAAGACTCTTAAGATTGTAACAATAAAACACTGAAAACTATGTTTTCAAACTTCCACAAAATTTATTTTAAACTCTTATCACCACAGCTGTTTCGGCTGATTGCCTTTCTCAAGTTTCGCTGATTGCCTTTCACTACAACTTGAGAAAGGCAATCAGCCGAAACAGCTGTAGTGATAAGAGTTTAAAATCAATTTTGTGGAAGTTTGAAAACAAAGTTTTCAATGTTTTTTTGTTACATAAAATGAATTTTCATCAAGTAACGGTCGAATCCATCAATTACTCTTATGATTGTTATTGCTTTGTTATGTCTTATTATTGTTTTGTATAAAACATTTAATTATTACTATTGTTTAATTTTAGGATATGCAAATTGTGTAGAATCTCTGCTCGACAAAAAAGTGTTTAAAGAATTGGAGGAAAATTCATTTTCACCTATTCACTGTGCCACGTAAGTATAATTTTGTTAACTAACTTGTTATATTTACGTGTTTTTGCCATTGCTTTAGGTTAATCCTTTAATGTATATATAATTTATATTTGGTTGCATACCATGATACTATAAACTACAGATAAACCCACGCGCACGCGATCAGTCGTGTGACGTCACTTGGCGACAAATGTCACCAGAAATGTTCTGTGTTGTATGGAGTTTTGTCAGATTTAGTCAAGGTTAGTAGATATTTAAGTATCTACTTAAATATCTACTAACCTTGAGATTTAGTTTTGTTTTATCGTTTATCTTGTACGTTGACATCGGTTTACTGGGTAAACCATCTTTCCGAAGGAGGTTTACTTAAACCATATCCAGATTTTCTAATTAAATGTAATGAACTGGACCATATTTTTAACAATTTTAACAAAGGGTCAAACAAATTAACCAAGAATTATTTAAAATCGCTAATGGATTTAGGTGTGTTCAGATGTAATGTTAGTAAAGGTGTAAATTATATTTTAAAATTAGAAAATTGAATAGATATATTAAAGAAACATCCAAAGTTAAGAAGAAGAAAATATTAAAAATTGTAAAATAAATTGTTAAATAAACTTGTAAATTATTACAGTGTATTTTATTTTATCAGTTTTATTAAATTTTTATTTTAATAAATCAATCCATTGTATATAAATTTCCATTTGCAAAAGGATGTTTAGTTCTTACTTTTTTATATAATTTTAGTTTACATTGCTAGGCTAACAGAGATGTATATATAACATATTTTTAAGATTTATTTGCAGATATTTTACCTAACATCCCTTAATATTCTAAATATTTAAATAAAAACCCCTTTCTTTCCATATATGTTTTACCGACTGTGATGATAAAAGGTTGGTGATAAAAGTGACTTTTATCACCAATTGACGTCATGCGCGTCGATGTACAAAATTCGATTGCGAAGTGGGTTTATCTTGGAAGTCTAAGTATCATGGTTGCATACGAAGCAGCCCAAACAAGATCCAGAAAAAAAAAACTAAGAAAAAGAACGAAAGTTGGGAAAAGATAAATAAATACATAGGTGGTAGAAGAAGCTCTGAAGACTGCAAAGTAATAAAGAACATACGGAAAGAAAAAGGGATATACATCATATCGTCAATAACAACAGAAAAATGGAAGAAACAGCTGGAAAATTTATCAACTGAAACCAGAGACATATTTATAAATGCTGAAAATGTATCGACGTTCAACGAAAGTTGAAAAACGGAAAAGCCCCTGGACCTGGTGAAATACTTTTTACTCCAGTCGTCAGAGACGAAAATACCACTGAACCTCTAAAAATCGTACGAACAAGCTGAATTTTGGGACCTCAAAAAAGGACAAGATATGGAGAGTTGAACAACTGTTCAGAATAGCTCAAGACAGAGCGTCTTGATGTGCTAGTCGCCAATGTGAAGGGGACTTGATAACGCACGTTAAGAAGAAGAAGGTGCGTTATCAGGGTTAGTGCAGGTTTTCATCGCAAGCTTTCAAGTTTAAGCAAAGGTTTTAGGCTACTCGAGGCCCACTTAAATTCACTTCGTGGAAAGCTACAATATTTTTGGGTTTTAACACACCACTGATTACATATGCCTACGTAAAGTTATTTAAGTTCATTTATTTAGGTAAATTAATTTTCTTTGCAGATTTTCAGGGTCAGACAAGTGCCTAGAATTATTAGTCAATTACTTTGGAAAAGAAATAGTTAATTTGTCAGATTGTCGAAAGAGAACTCCGCTACATATTGCTGCTCTGAATGGCCATACAGAATGTGCGAAATATTTAATAGAACAGGGTGCTGACATTCAAGTATTCGATGAGGAGGGACGGACGCCATTTATAGCCGCTGCGCAGTACGGACAGACTCAGATTGTTGGTATGTATATTGTATTATATAGTATTATACGAGTAAAACGGTGCGGTAACTACTCCACAGTTCGATATCTTCATGGTTAGTAGAGATAGACTTTGAAAAGCAACCTTTCGGGATGTTAAAATATCAGACAACTTTCCAGTATTTCACGTTTCAGCTCCACGAATAAACCTTTTTCATCTTTTAACATTTAACAATGTACTTTTTGTGCTCTTCTCCGATATTTTGGTTTCGTTTCGCTTTTGTTACTTCACTGTCCAGCACAATCAACTTATATTTTTGGCCTATAGTCCCACTGACTATCGAAAGAGTTTGACAGCATACATTATCAAATAAACACACAAGAAAATTGGACTTGATACAAAGGATTTCCAGAATCAAAACTATGGATCAACAACTTACTGTAACCTCAAGAAATAAAAAACAAGAGGTTTACGTCGCATAGAGCCTCTTTACAAAAATCACTTGATAATAATTCATTATCCTTGAAAATAATTATTTTGAATAAGCCTTGAGAAACGTGCTAGTTGAAATCTCAAATACCCATGAGCTGATAATTGGAGGAGAACTACTGGTAAATACATGTAACCAGTATAAATTAAAAATAATGAACGCCTTCGAGCACAAATATATTAACAAATATACCAACACACTGGAGGGCTAAAATCTCTAATAGATTAAATATTATTTTGAAACAATATAGTACACTTTTGGTACGAGATGGGATCGTGAAGAGGAGAGCAGACTGTGGATCGGTTCACTGCCTGGTTTTATCAAAATTTATATATACCATTTGCAGTAATGTAAACACAAATAAGAAAGAATAAGAAGGAGATATAAATATATATGTTCCCTTTTAATGTTTTGAATTAACTCTTGAATTTACAAATAAAGTAATTAAATTTGAGTAATATTTTTTTTTTGTTTCAGAACAATTATTAAGTTGTAAAGTTGATCGTACTACTTGTGATAAACTTGGCAATACTGCTTTACATTGGGCGTGCCTTAAAAAGCACAACCAAACTGCCTTATTAATTTTAGAAGGATCTCCAGGAGATGAAATTATCAATGTAGCCAATAATGACAAGAAAACGTAAGTAAAATTTCACTGCATACATGTATTTATTATACAGAGTGGACCAAAAGTCAGTTAACCGTTTTGTATATTAATAAGTCCAAATACCTGAAGTAAAAAAAAGTTTATTGTTTATTGTTAATAAGTACGTCAAACATGCACTTACATACATGCACTTATATACACGTAACTTTAACCTTTATAAAGGAAAATTGAGGATTAACAAACTGCGATCACTCGTTAAGTAGGGACGCTTTTAAAAAACTTTATAATAGCTCTGAGAATGGCTTTGTAAGCCGAAAGCGTTCGGCTAGGAAATAAAAATTTTACACTTTTTCCATTCTTTGACTTTTTTATTTTTCGCGTTTACCTAGTGTCTTTTTCTGCACCAGACTATATTTATAAGACCAGCGAATACCAATAATGTTTTTTAATATTGATATTTGATTTTAGCCCACTACATATTTCTGCAAGAAACGGCTTAGTAGATGTAACTAGGGAATTACTGAAAAAAGGAGCCTCGATTATATCTGTGGACAATGAGGGATTAACACCTGCTTTGTGTTGCGCTCCAAATAACAGTGTTGCACAATGTTTAGCATTGATTTTGCAATCACCGTTCCCCAAAAATTCAAAATCAGGAGAGGGTAAATATTTTCTAATGCTAATATTTACAAATTTTATTTTTTGAAATGTTCTTTAAATATTTGTATGTTTTATCATCTAAGAACATTTAACCTTGTAGTGTTACTATTTTATCACCTGATGTTGACTCGTCTTCTGACGATTTTTCAGGAAATAGTGTGAGATTCTGCAACTGTTATCGATCTGTAGTTTATTTGGTATAGTGACTGTAGTGTATAATATTTTTCATTGCGCGGTTCGTGGTCTAAATATATCAGGCCGGTACCTTTGTAATATTATTGTCTTGCGGAGTATGTCGAACTGTATGATAAAAAAAGAAAGAAACTAGACAGAGCTGCATATTATCACCATTATTGTACAACATGTTCTATTCTGAACATATAATGAGAAAAGTACTAGACGAATGGGATGGAGGAATCACTATAGGAGGCAGAAAAATCATCAACATGCAATACGCAGATGATACACTTATAATAGCAGCGAATGAAGTCAAAATGATTACCATCACATATTCACGGATGGACGACGGACTTCAGATCAATACCGGAAAAACAAAAATAATAATCGTAGACAGAGCAAATAATAATCTACCGTACATACACCAAATGCTGAATTTCGAAGTGGTAGACAGATTTGTATACTAAGGCTCCCTGATAACCATCAATGGCGATTGCTTTTCAGAAATCAAGCGTAGACTAGCAACAATCTGAACCGCAACAGCTAAACTGATTAAAATATGGAAAGACCGAACAATAACAAGGAATACTAAGCTCAGGTCAATGCCCTTATTTTTCCCATTGCTACATAGCAAGCAGCTGAAAAAATGAAGTCAAAATGATTACCATCACATATTCACGGATGGACGACGGACTTCAGATCAATACCGGAAAAACAAAAATAATAATCGTAGACAGAGCAAATAATAATCTACCGTACATACACCAAATGCTGAATTTCGAAGTGGTAGACAGATTTGTATACTAAGGCTCCCTGATAACCATCAATGGCGATTGCTTTTCAGAAATCAAGCGTAGACTAGCAACAATCTGAACCGCAACAGCTAAACTGATTAAAATATGGAAAGACCGAACAATAACAAGGAATACTAAGCTCAGGTCAATGCCCTTATTTTTCCCATTGCTACATAGCAAGCAGCTGAAAAAATTGATAGGAATAATATCGAAGCCTTCGAAATGTGGGTCTCTAGAAGAATTCTATGCGTGTCCCAGGCAGAACATAAAACCAACCTGTTAATTCTGGAAGAGCTTTTGAGAGCAATTGAGGCAGCAAGCTAATAATATTTCGAGTGTCATCACGCTCTGCCAAGGGCTCAAGGAATGAGGAGGAGGAGTAGGTTGAAAAAATTCGCAGGACATTCCAGTAACACATGATTCACTTATTTACTAGTGGCATTAATTTACTCAGAGATTTTTAAACTGTAAATAAAACAAACAGAATTTAAAGAATGAATTTGAAGGATGCACATTGCAGAACAGAACTAAAATCAGTTGTACGTAGATCAGTTGGTGGTGCTCATCTTTATCTTATTGATATTTTAAAATACATCTTTTGATGAGCATTAAATAAATGTCAGAATATTAAATGGGTGTCAGGAATAGCTATAGTAAATAGGGAAAAAATCGGCAGTTTAAGATATGTAGAGGATAGCTTAATAGAACTAGATGCCATCAAAAACATTCGTAGAGGAAAAGAACATGACATAGATGATATAATGGCAATAATACAAAATTACTTATATCTTTAGCACGAAGAAAAACCACCATCCTAATAAATTCCTCAAAAATGAAAATTAAAATAAAAATTATAAACTCTGAGCTACAACCAAAGATTGCTTAATCAGAAATAAAGAAAGCAGTTAAAGAAATAGAAAACAATAAATAAACGGTACAATATTGTAATTAAACTGAAATGATTTAAAACGGTGAAAAAGTTATATTTGTTTGTTATTACCGCTCAGAAAGGTGGGAAAAAGGATTTGAGGTACTAGAGCCTGATTATTTTGTTTAATGTAATCTGTAAAGCTATAGGACATGACAAGTTTTGTGCAAAGTTAATAATAACTATATTTCACAAAATTTATATAACTATATTTTATAATAAACGTAAGCAATGTCGAACTAGTGGAAAAATATGCATATCTACAGACAATGATTAACTCCACAAATAATTATTTCTAAGAAATTAAAATTAGGATAGAAAAAATTCGTAAAACTTCTCAAAATGAGGAGAGTACTCAGCACAAAATTTTTAAGTTTGTAGCTAAGGGTTAGGTTCGCGAAATGCTACGTTTTCTCGACTTTTTTTTATGGAATAGAAGCTTGGATCAATCCGATATCAATGAAAAAACTGGAAACATTCGACTTGTAGGTGTATAGAAGAATTGTACAAATAACTTGGACAGAACACTCCATCACAGATCAGACACAATCAAGCAGGTTATGAAAAAGAAATAGAAATTTTAAATACCAAACAGGAAAATTTGAATACCTCGGACACATTACACTTCGTTCCACCTAAGTATGCGGGGAAAGATCCAAGAAAGGATGAACAAAGAAAGACGTCATGGCAGCGCAACTTTAGAGTGGTACGGATGTACAGCAAATGAACTTTTCAGAGCGGCCGTCTGATAAAGTCCGAATTGCTTTGATGATTACCGACCTCCGTCGCGGAATGGTACTTGAAGAAGAAGATATAACTATATAAATCTGTTATTGTTATTCAATTGACTGCACTGTAAGCTGGCTTCTAGAATTATTTAACACTCATATTCGAATTTGATGTACCTAAGCTTCATCGATACAATCCATAAAAAATTTCATTCAAAACTCATAACATTGAAACATCGGTATCTTAAAACAAATTGTTTTTAATCAAATGTGATACAAATAATATTATTCTCCTTAAACTTTTGTTTTCTTTTGTCGGAAGTTAGAAATCATCATCGCTTTTTTAACCGTATTTCTAAAGAGCTCTAATGAGTTGAAACTGGAGTGGTTGGAACCATTCTTTCAAATTTCTCAGCTAGAATATTATATGCCTTTCAGGGTTTTTCTACTCATATGTCTTCTCATTTTCCTGGAAGCGAACAAGAGAAACATTATTTACACCATATTTATAAAGACCGAAAGATTGCCAAAAAGAGCCCTAGATAAGAAAATGCAGGGCGCAAGACCAAAAGGAAAGTGAGAGGATGAAATGACAGCGGAGGCGCAAAATTTGCTAGACGTAAGAACCTGGAGAAGATCGGCGAGGGACCGGCAAGGTTGGAGGCATAGTTTGGAGGAGGCCATTTGGGCTATAGCGGTGTTGGGCGGTCTTTTCTTCCAATCTGTACATCCTAACAGATGCGTAATGATCATGATTGTTAAGATTCTTCCAGGACTCGTATTGATCTTTTTATACTATTTCTCTGTGTTTAATAACTTTTCAAATAATGTATTAGTCCATCGAGATGGTGATTACTGCCGAATTTTTCTTTTTTCCGGTTTGTCTTGAATCACTAGTCTACCCAAATTATTGTGAAGTATTATATTTCCGAAGAATGTTATTATCTTTGAAAGTATGTAACTGGAGAGACGTTGTAAATTATTAATCTCCACAAGAACATATGTAAAGGGTGTCACAAAATTCACGCAAGATTTGAATTTGCCTCCATTTGTGCAATAAAGGGTTAGCACCACGATACACTTACAACGGTATGCCGACGCGCATCTTCAGTGACGTCACATCGATGCTAATCGTAAGTTATTTGATGTTGGTTAGGTTGAGTGTTTTTATTTTTAATTTATCCCATTGTGGATTTACTAATTTACAATTTTCGAATCGAATACAGTTGTAAATGAAACGGCGAAATTGAGATACAAAAATACTTTTGAAAGAATTGATACAAATGAAATAAAAAAATATTCAATGTGATTGGAATTTACGAATATTTATTTCAATATAGAAAGCGCTTTAATAGAATAATGTTTTAATACTTCGTAGGTATTTATTTATTTTTTTTACGGTTTGTAAATTTTAATATTTTTATTTCCAGTTTTACAATTTTCAAAACTAATTTGCTTATCAATTTCTCGCAATCTTATGTAGCTTCTGGTACGACTTAGTGAGAGCGCCCACCAAAGTGGCGTGGCAGTGGCAAGTAGCAAGTAGCACGCGTCTAGCATAATGTAACCAATCCTAACGAATGATTAGAATGAATGACGTTACTGTCATTTTGGTGTAAACTGAGTCATTCGTTTTCATTGGTTACATTATGCTAGACGCGTGCTACTTGCTACTTGCCACTGCCACGCCACTTTGGTGGGCGCTCTCACTAAGGCAATAAATAACTTCATAAGGTATATTACTTCATTACCAAGCATGGCAACAGTACGGTCAGCTATCAATGAAAATATTTTTTTCTATTGAGAAAGTGACGTTCCATGCATTAAATTGAACTCTGTTTCCAATACACTCCGTCGTTACACGACGGCATTTTAAATAGGTATAATAATTTACACGCACTTTTAATCACCTATCGGATAGTTAACAATAGTTTTTTTTTTCAAATTCAAACATACAACAAACAACGATTTACTAAAAACCACGAAATAGATTTCAAAACAGTGAAAATACTATCTCACACCATAACATACAACAGCTCGATGCATCGACGTGACGTAACTGCGCGTCAAAGTCACGTTTTTATTCCAAATGTAGCATACCGTTGTAAGTGTATCGTGGTTAGCACCAAAAAACAGTTTGACAGCTGACAGTTTAGGTTTAATAAAAATGGAGATTTACATGAGAGCACAACGCGTTTTCAGTATTGAAAATATTTTAAAAACGATGGTTAACAACAAATATTTTAGAAACAATGACCACAACAGTGGTCACCAAACCACAGTTCCAAAATGTACAAAATTTAGTCGGAATATTGTTTGAATTTCGACAACTATGCATAAAAAACAGTTTGTCACCTGACAGTTTAGGGTTAGTA